TACATTTCAAAAGTGCTGAACAAGTAGTTATATTGACTACGTCCGTCCTAGCTCGCTCATAAATGTCTTAATCGAAATTATGGATTGCCACTTATCCGCTTGTTGTCCCCTTATGCCATAGTTTGTACATCTCAATTGTCAGTAGAAACCACATTTGTTTAAGCAGGTCAGCCATTTTAGCTATGTTTTTTTTTCAAGGCAGTAAATGAGGCTGAATGAACTGTTTCGCTGCCAGACAAGGTTCAGCTGATAGCCAGGTGTAGCAGTAGTAAGGTGTTGGGAGTGGGACTGCTGATGGGACTCTGCTGTTGGGACAGCTTCATGTAGGCCCTAACAGTTTGTGGGCACCGTTTGTCACCGTTATAGAGCAATGAATGTATTGTTTAGTGTTGTGTAGTGGCTTTGCTGGCATGCATCCCCAAATATCTTTTGTTTGTTTGCCCCACCAAGATTTACATGCTAAAATCGCCACTGGTTACATGTATTTTACAAAAATATAAACGCAAAATGCAACAATGTCATAGATCTTTTACTGAGTTAGAGTTCATATGAGGAAATCAGTCAATTGAAATAAATTCATTAGGCCCTAATCCAGGGTTCTTCAATTCCGGTCCTGGAGGGCCGAAACACCTCTGTTTTTCATCCTCTCCTTCTAATCAGGGGCTAATTCAGACCTGGGACACCAGGTGAGTGCAATTAACTACCAGGTAGAAATAAAAAACAGAAGTGTTTCGGCCCTCCAGGACCGGAATTGAAGAACCCTGCCCTAATCTATGGATTTCACATGACTGGGAATACAGATGTGCTTATGTTGGTCACAGATACCTTAAAAGAAAATGGGCCTCACAATGGGCCCCAATGGATCTTGTCACAACATTTTTGTGCATTCAAATTGCCATCGATAAAATGCAATTGTGTTCGTTGTCCATAGCTTATGCCTGCCCATACCATAACCCAACCGCCACCATGGGGCACTCTGTTTACAATGTTGACATCAGCAAACTGCGCGCCCACACGATGCCATACACGTGGTCTGCGGTTGTGAGGCCGGTTGGACATACTGCTAAATTCTCTAAAACAGGGGTGTCAAACGTACGGCCCGCGGGCCGGATCAGGCCCGCAAATGGGTTTAATCCGGCCCGCGAGATGATTAAAAAAAAATATATATATAAAAAATATATATATATATATATTATTTTGTAAAGTATACAAATGCGCTGCAATTTTTCTATAAAATAAACTGCTGTTCCAATTGCGTCCACTGGATGGCGCAATAGCAATTGTGTTAAGCAAGCAAACTGTTTATACCGGGGCAGAGCAAGTAGGTCAAGCACGTGCAGCCAATGAGCTACTTTGTTTTGCCCGCGATATTTATTACGGCTTCTACTTTTAACATTATGTGCTTTGGCACCCTCATTGCCCCAATATGTCTCTGTCAAAAAAGAGAAAAGTGGACGCAGAGTGCAGAGTGTTCCAAGAAAAATGGTCATCCTATTTAATCACGGAATTTAATGGGAAAGCTGTATGTTTGGTGTGTTCAGAGCATGTTGCAGTGCTGAAAGAATATAACCTTCGTCGCCACTATGTGAGTCTTCATGCCGACAAATATGACAACTTTCAAGGACAGCGGAGATGAGAGAAGGTGAATGAACTGTTGGCGGGTCTGAAGAAACAGCAGTCTGTGTTTACTCACAGCCGAGACATCAGTGACGCTGCAGTGAAAGCTAGCTACCTCATTGCTAATGAAATCGCAGTGGCTTCGAAACCATTTAGTGAGGGTGAATTTGTAAAAACATGCATGATGAAGGCAGCGGAGATTGTGTGCCCTGAAAAGCGGCAGGCTTTTGCAAATATCAGCCTGACAAGAAACACAGTTGCAGACAGGATTTCCGATCTTTCAGTGGATTTGGACAGCCAGTTGAAGCAAAAAGTAAAGTCATTTATTGCGTTTTCGGTTGCAATTGATGAAAGCACGGACATTACAGATGTTGATGACACATTGACCGTCACCGAGGAGTTCGTGGAGTTGGTGCCGATGACAGATACAACGACAGCAGCTGATATTTTTACCGCACTCGTCGGCGCGCTGGACAGGGTCGGAGTGGACTGGTCCCGCGCTGTCAGCCTGGCTACAGATGGTGCGCCCTCAATGATCGGGAAAAAAGCAGGCGTTGTGACAAAGTTCAGAGAGAAAGTGCAATCTGCAAATGGAGGACGTGATTTTTTAACTTTTCACTGTATTTTGCACCAGGAGGCTTTGTGTTGCAAGTCATTAAAGATGGATAACGTCATGAAGGTGGTCATCCAAACTGTTAATTTCATCCGATCCAGAAGCCTGAATCACCGTCAGTTTGACAGCCTTCTCAGAGAGAAAGACCACATCTATGGCCTGCCATACCACACTGAGGTAAGATGGTTAAGCCGAGGTGCTGTGCTGAGGCGTTTCTTTGATTTACGAGAAGAAATTGAACAGTTCATGGAAGAAAAGGGCAAACCAGTGTTAGAATTTCATTCCGCAGAATGGATGCCGGACCTTGCATTTATGGTGGATGTTACAGAGCACCTGAATAACTTGAACAAACAGCTGCAAGGGCGCAATAAAGTTGTCACGCAGTATTATGACAGCACACGTTCTTTCAAGTTGAAGCTGTCATTGTGGGAGACGCAACTTGCCGGTGGTGATGCAGCTCACTTCCCCTGTCTGAAAAATGTGTGCGCGACCCAACATATGGCAGACATGAAGCGGTTCAAAGATAAAATAACGGGACTGTTACGGGAGTTTGAGCAACGCTTTCAGATTTATGTTTATATGTTTTTATGTTGATGTGCTATTGTTTTTAATTGATTTTATTTTATTTGTATATTTAACCTATTCTTGACTCTGTGGTTCTTGCACTTGTTTGGGGAACAGGATTTCATTATTTTTATCTACATTTCTGCCTGAGAAATGACACCCTGATATAGTTCTGTGATCTGTGAAACAGTTCTGTTAATCACTGAGGCATTGTGTGTTTGTGTGTTCTTTTTCTTTAGAATTTTCAAATAAACTTGACGTGTTTTATGATTAATAGTGATGTTGTGCTTGTACTATTTTGGACACACTGTCCTCAGGCTCCAGCTTTATGTTGTATGTTGATCGTATTAAAACAAAGAAAACAATCTGAAGTTGTTGTTTTTAAGTTATATATACCATGATTTTTCCGGTCCGGCCCACTTGGGAATAGATTTTCCTCCATGTGGCCCCTGAGCTAAAATGAGTTTGACACCCCTGCTCTAAAACAACGTTTGAGGCGGCTTATGGTAGAGAAATTAACATTATATTCTCTGGCAACAGCTCTGAAGGACATTCCAGCAGTCAGCATGCCAATTGCACGCTCCCTCAAAACTTGAGACATCTGTGGCATTGTGATGTGTGACAAAACTGCAAATTTGAGTGGCCTTTTATTGTCCCCAGCACAAGGTTCACCTCTGTAATGATCATGCTGTTTAATCAACTTCTTGATATGCCACACCTGTCAGGTGGATGGATTATCTTGGCAAAGGAGAAATGCTCACAAACAGTGATGTAAACACATTTGTGCATATGGAACATTTCTGGGATCTTTTATTTCAGCTCTTGAAACATGGGACCAACACTTTCCATGTTGCATTTATATTTTTGTTCAGTATAGTTCAATTACTTCTGAGTATTTTGTCATTTGTATTACACTGAGCTGAACTACACTCCAATGCATTTTGTAACAAGATACATTCGAGAGCTGTAATTTGTATTTTCGAAATACAAAATACTTTTATATATATTTTTAAATTATAGTGGTTCACCATTTTGTGGCCCCCTTTCACCCTGCATTTGTATCAGAAGTAGGGCGATAACAGTGTCTGCTAAATAAACAAAATATAAATGTGTATGAGAAAATTAACAATTGCAAAGCATGCTGAGTATTATTTTAATGAGCTCCGCCCCAAAACAAGGTTACCAGTAGGTTAGGATAATGAATGTAGCAGGTTAGGATAATTAGGTTAAACTGTATCCCATCTAGACATGACCCTGAGGCCAATAATAATACCCAGTGTGCTTTGCAGATCATTTTGGTATGTTCATTTACACATACATTTACATTTTGGTCATTCAGCAGAAACTCGTATCCAGAGTGACTTAAGTCAGTGCATTCAACTAAGGTAGATAACACAGTCAGAGCAAGTAAATGTAATGTTTCTGTTTGGGCTGGCTACTTGCAAATGTATTACTGTATTTTAATGAAATACATGTCAAAATACAAGTATTTTGTAATTTATTTTGATACCTTTGATCTGTATGGTATTTTGTAATTTTTGTCCATCCCTGCCTATGCAATATCAAATTTCTGTATAAAAAATTGCCTAAACCTAGTTGTCTGGGGAACTACTAGGCTACGTTATATAAGATGATCAGACTTGGTTCTAAATGAGCATGCCCATGAGTGTTTTTATGTTTGCCAACCATTTAAGCCCCTATAATTAAAGCCTATTTTTATTTTATGTTGTGTCTCATGGATGCCCAAATGTGATTTTAAAATGTGACAAAAAAATGTCTTGCCTACAGCAAAACGGTATTGCGTTAATTGGTAAATGTCCAGAAAAACATTGCTTTGCGAGGCAAGACATTTCACATGGGGGGTGTACACGCGTCTTTTTCATTATGTAATGTTTATCACTAGACTTGCCCATCAATGTATCAATATCGCGTTATGTTGTCCTCTTTTTAGGACGTTTTGGCAACAATGGTGCAAAGTTGAACTACATCTCCATACATGCATCTGTTCAGTCAATAAGGAAGGACACAAGGGGGCTTGTTCAAACAGATTTAAACTGAGCGCTAGGTTCGCAGCTTAGTAGAGCTGCAAATACTCTGAACTGCCTAATCTTCGACTGAGCAATAGTCTGCGTTGTTGGTAGCTTTGTGAAGACGCGCCAAATTTCTGACACGTTTGAACAGACCGAACATAGTCATAGAACTGCGCGGCAAAAGCAAGGTACAAACAAAAACATGTGGGTGTAGCATTGAACTAACGGGTGCGTATTAGGTTTCTTTTGAAATATTAATGAGCTTACGAGCGGGCTATGAGTTCGGGAATGTTTGTAAATCGATTGAAATACACATAATAGTTGTATTTTCATGTAGTTGTACATTTTTGCATGTTAACTGCTAGCATAGCTTGCTTGCTTAGGCATATTGCATAGCCTATTTGCATATTGTTGCTAGCTGCACCTGCCAGTCAATCAATTTCCTCAACCTGCGTGTTTGGTCTTGACCAAAAATGTATCTTAGTTTATTCTTAATTTTCCGATCTTGTGTGGGGTGGTGAAATTTTAGCGAACCATTTAAACTATCTTGCTATTATCTGTAATTGTATTATTTTAAAGCATTGTTCATAGCTAGTTATCCCAGTTTTGTATCAGATAACAATATTTGTTTCCAGTATTAGTTTAACCTTTTTTAACATATTTTGCGTAATACATGGATCCTTGTGCCACGCCCACTCTAGTCAGCCTACTCAGTTGTTTTCCACAAAGTGAAAGAAGCCATACAAAGGCCTTTGAATGTTAGGGGAAAATACAGCATAAGTGTGTGCTGGTACTGATTTCCACTTTGCTGTCGTCCAGCCCCTATGACATCACTGCAGCTGAGAGTGGAGAAGACACACCAGCCTAGTGAGTGACTGCGAGCTGTGGCGGAGGAGAGGGGTCAACATGGGACTGCACTCAGCCCAGAAGAAACACTTTCCCCTAAAGGGGATTGATGGTGTGGTCGCGCTGTTCGACGCGGAGCTCCGTAAACCCGAACCGGACCTGGCCCTTCTCTCATTGGTCCTGGGCTTCGTTGAACACTTCCTGGCTGTGAACCGGGTCATACCAATAAACGTCCCGGGGGTGCGCTTCGAGCCGCTGGAGCCAGACTGTCCAAACTCCTGCTTCCCCACAGTGGAGTTAGGGATGCTGTCAGCCCTACGTGAGCGTTTCACTGCCCAGATCCGGGGCGCAGTGGATCTATCCCAGTACCGCAGCCCATCCGGCGGATCCAGCAGGGAACTGGTGAAGAAGGTGTCTGACGTCATCTGGAACAGCCTGAGCCGTTCCTACTTTAAGGACCGTGCCCACATCCAGTCCCTCTTCAGTCTCATCACTGGTAGGGGTTGGGGTATTATGTGGGTACATAGGTGATCATATCATACATCATATTCTATGATGAATGTGATAAGGTATATAGAATATGATGAGGTATTGCATCGCTAACAGTATTTCTTAGGAAACATGTACTCCTGAGTGGCGCAGTGGTCTAAGGCACTGCATCGCAGTGCTAACTGTGCCACTAGAGATCCTGGTTCGTATCCAGGCTCTGTCGCAGCCGGCCGCGACCGGGAGACTCATGGGGCGGCGCACAATTGGCCCAGCGTCGTCCAGGGTAGGGGAGGGAATGGCCGGCAGGGATGTAGCTCAGTTGATAGAGCATGGCGTTTGCAACGCCAGGGTTGTGGGTTCGATTCCCACGGGGGGCCAGTATAAAAAAATATATAAAAAAATATGTATTCACTAACTGTAAGTCGCTCTGGATAAGAGCGTCTGCTAAATGACTAAAAAATGTAAAAAATGTAAATATTTATTTCTATATATATATACAGTGAGGGAAAAAAGTATTTGATCCCCTGCTGATTTTGTACGTTTTCACACTGACAAAGACCTGATCAGTCTGTAATTTTAATGGTAGGTTTATTTGAACAGTGAGAGACAGAATAACAACAACAAAATCCAGAAAAACGCATGTCAAAAATGTTATAAATTGATTTGCATTTTAATGAGGGTAATAAGTATTTGACCCCTCTGCAAAACATTACTTAGTACCGTATTTTCCGCACTATAAGGCGCACCGGATTATAAGGCGCACCTTCAATGAATGGCCTATTTTAGAACTGTTTTCATATATAGGGCGCACCGGATTATAAGGCGCATAGAATAGAAGATACTGTAGTCAAACGAATTGACTGGGGTTGCGTTATGCATCCACTAGATGGAGCTGTGCTAAAAGGAATGTCAACAAAACAGTCAGATAAAGTCAAACTTTATTAAGCGTTCTGACAACTCCGTTCACTCCCATGGTAATGTTGTTCAAACGTTAATGTGCATATTAACAATATCTCCCAGCCTTGCTCACTCTTCTCCCAAACGTGGAGGGGAACCTTTCCCTGATTCAGTAAACACGTAGTAAAAGAAACAGTCTGATACCACTAAATCAAACGTTAGTGCATAACTCAACATTGTTCAGTTACATATAACACGTAAAGCTCACTTTTTCAGTTCATTCCCCATCCACGAACCCCTCGAATTCTTCTTCTTCAGTGTCCGAATTGAACAGTTGGGCGACTACGGCATCCAACCTGCCCGGCTCCCTCTCGTCATTATCAGAGTCAGTGTCGCTGCTGTTGCCTGGCAGTTCAGAGATTATTCCTGCCTTCGTGAAAGCTTTGACCACAGTTGAGACCGATATATCAGCCCAGGCATCCACGATCCATTGGCAGATAGTGGCGTAAGTCGCCCGGCGCTGTCTCCCCGTCTTGGTGAACGTGTGTTCGCCTTCTGTCATCCACTGCTCCCACGCAGCTCGCAGTCTAGCTTTGAACGCCCTGTTGACACCAATATCTAGCGGCTGGAGTTCTTTAGTTAATCCACCCGGAATGACGGCAAGCTCCGAATTAGTTTGCTTCACTTGTTTTTTGACAGCATCGGTGATATGGGCGCGCATTGAGTCGTAGATCAATAGGGACGGAGCTGTGTGGAAAAAGCCACCCGGTCTCTTGACGTAAATTTCTCTCAGCCACTCACTCATCTTTTCCTCATCCATCCATCCCTTCGGGCTAGCTTTGATGACGACGCCGGCTGGAAAGTTCTCTTTTGGCAAGGTCTTCCTCTTGAAAATAATCATGGGTGGAAGTTTCTGGCCATTAGCCTGGCAGGCGAGAACTACAGTGAAGGATGACTTCTCATTCCCTGTGGTACGTACAGACACCGTACTGGTCCCCGTTTTCTCCACAGTGCGGTTCACGGGAATATCAAAGGTGAGTGGAACCTCGTCCATGTTGGTGATGTGCTCTGGCCGGATCTTCTTTTCAGTGATCTTCTTTTTGCAGTATGCGCGGAAAGTGACCAGCTTTTCTTGGTAATCTTTTGGCAGTTGCTGCGAGACGGTAGTTCGTGTGCGGATGGAGAGATTACGTCTTTTCATAAAACGAAAGCACCAAGAAGGACCGCCTCGAAATTCATCGATTGTCATGTCCCGTGCTAGCGCTGTTGCCTTCATTCGAATAGTGACTGTAGAGACGCTTCTACTTGCTGCTCTCTGTTCAACAACCCACTGTTCGAGTTTGTCCTCTAACTGTGGCCCTCTCGCTTTGTTCCCGCGGAAACTCTGTTTAGTCTTCTTTACTTGGCGCAGGTCATCTTCTTGCTTCCTCCACTTCCGTACCATTGATTCATTAATGTTGAATTCTCTCGCTGCTGCTCTATTGCCATATTCTACTGCATGACCGACAGCCTTGAGCTTGAACTCTGCGTCGTAAGCGTGTCTCTTGAAAGGTGCCATTTTGGGGTCTTTATACACACACAAGTGGTGTGGGACTGTGAGTAAGCACAATACCGGTGTGTACTGGCTACCGTAATGCTGCAAGTGGTGCGGCTTTGTAGTTTACCAGTCGTACTGAAACATTTCATTATTATTAAATTGTTTTTATTGGTTTTTCATACTGAAACATTTTGACAGAGCACCTTGAGCGCCGTGTACAACCAGTATGGATCAACCAATTAACCAATTGATCCATATATAAGGCGCTCCGAATTATAAGGCGCACTGTCGTTTTTTGAGAAAATTAAAGGCTTTTAAGTGCGCCTTATAGTGCGGAAAATACGGTACTTGGTGGCAAAACCCTTGTTGGCAATCAGAGGTCAGACGTTTCTTGTAGTTGGCCACCAGGTTTGCACACATCTCAGGAGGGATTTTGTTCCACTCCTCTTTGCAGATCTTCTCCAAGTCATTAAGGTTTCGAGGCTGACGTTTGGCAACTCGAACCTTCAGCTCCCTCCACAGATTTTCTATGGGATTAAGATCTGGAGACTGGCTAGGCCACTCCAGGACCTTAATGTGCTTCTTCTTGAGCCACTCCTTTGTTGCCTTGGCCGTGTGTTTTGGGTCATTGTCATGCTGGAAAACCCATCCACAACCCATTTTCAATGCCCTGGCTGAGGGAAGGAGGTTCTCACCCAAGATTTGGCCCCGTCCATCATCCCTTTGATGCGGTGAAGTTGTCCTGTCCCCTTAGCAGAAAAACACCCCCAAAGCATAATGTTTCCACCTCCATGTTTGACGGTGGGGATGATGTTCTTGGGGTCATAGGCAGCATTCCACCTCCTCCAAACACAGCAAGTTGAGTTGATGCCAAAGAGATCGATTTTGGTCTCATCTGACCACAACACTTTCACCCAGTTCTCCTCTGAATCATTCAGATGTTCATTGGCAAACTTCAGACGGCCCTGTATATGTGCTTTCATGAGCAGGGGGACCTTGTGGGCGCTGCAGGATTTCAGTCCTTCACGGCGTAGTGTGTTACCAATTGTTTTCTTGGTGACTATGGTCCCAGCTGCCTTGAGATCACTGACAAGATCCTCCCGTGTAGTTCTGGGCTGATTCCTCACCGTTCTCATGATCATTGCAACTCCACGAGGTGAGATCTTGCATGGAGCCCCAGGCCGAGGGAGATTGACAGTTCTTTTGTGTTTCTTCCATTTGCGAATAATCGCACCAACTGTTGTCACCTCACCAAGCTGCTTGGCGATGGTCTTGTAGCCCATTCCAGCCTTGTGTAGGTCTACAATCTTGTCCCTGACATCCCTCGAGAGCTCTTTGGTCTTGGCCATGGTGGAGAGTTTGGAATCTGATTGATTGCTTCTGTGGACAGGTGTCTTTTATACAGGTAACAAGCTGAGATTAGGAGCACTCCCTTTAAGAGTGTGCTCCTAATCTCAGCTCGTTACCTGTATAAAAGACACCTTGGAGCCAGAAATCTTTCTGATTGAGAGCGGGTCAAATACTTATTTCCCTAATTAATTTTTTTGTTGTTATTCTGTCTCTCACTGTTCAAATAAACCTACCATTAAAATTATAGACTGATAATTTCTTTGTCAGTGGGCAAACGTATAAAATCAGCAGGGGATCAAATACTTTTTCCCCTCACTGTATGTATGTGTATGTATGTATATATATATACTTTTTTTATATAATATGGGTTGGGGATAGGGTGGGGCCGCCAGGGGTATGTTTCGAATAGGTGTGGGTGGGAGGGTGTGTAGGTTTTTTTTTTTTTTTTTTTTTTTACGGTAAAAGTGTCATGTTTTATTTATGTGATTTGTATTGCCCTTGTGACCCAGTAAAAACAATTGTTCACAAAAAGGAAGCATGTTGTATAGTTATGCAAAAATACAAGGACGTTTTGTCTGAAGGAGGGTAATGCTATTACTAACTCAAACCTATTACTTTTCTTTACTTCGAACAGGCACAAAGCTGGATAGCTCTGGGGTGGCGTTTGCGGTGGTGGCAGCGTGCCAGGTTCTGGGGCTGCGGGACGTGCACCTGGCCCTGTCCGAGGACCACGCCTGGGTCATCTTTGGCAAGAACGGAGAGGAGACAGCCGAGGTCACCTGGCACGGCAAGGGCAACGAGGACCGGAGGGGGCAGACAGTTGCCGCCGGTGTCGGTGAGAGGGTAAGTAAGGTACAGAGATATTTCCACTCCTTGCAGAAACATGACATTATAATAACATGCGCTCTCACACACCTTTTTAATATAGCTACATATCAACTACATAGAACTGCTGTTCAACACACACACACACTCCTCTCACCTTGAACTTGTAAACACAGTACAACACCTCTCAACCCTAACCCCCATCTCTCCCCTGTCCCCCAGAGCTGGCTGTACCTGAAGGGCTCCTATATGAAGTGTAACAGGAACATGGAGGTGGCCTTCATGGTGTGTGCCATCAACCCCTCACTGGACCTGCACACTGACAGCTCTGAGATGCTACAGCTTCAACAGGTCAGACCACCATCAGTACTAGATGTACACTAGCACATTGGGGATAGTAAGTGTGATATAATGAATATTGTAAGGGGGGAGTTTCACCTGAAACACACCTGTTGGCATCATCAAAGACCAAGACATCAAGCTGGCTGGAACAGTAGTTTATATTTACCTCAAATGCTTCCTCTGTGTTGTCCTCTGTCTCTCTCTCTGATCTGTCTGTCTGTCTCTCTCTCTGATCTTTTTCCTACACAGAGGCTTCTATGGCTGCTCTATGAGCGAGGAGACCTGGAAAGGTGATAGTTTTTTGGTACATTTCAAAAGCTTGCTGAAAGACTCAATTGTTTTGAAGTGTTGTGGTGAAAATGCCTCTTGGTTACATCCAAATTAATTATTTTCTGTTGTAAGCATGTTACTATTCTGTCGTATCAACCAACTCGCTCTTTTCCCTTGCCGTGCCACAGATACCCCATGGCCATGGGAACCTTGGCAGACCTGGAGGACCAGGAGCCCATCCCTGGCAAAGAGAACCCACACACCATCCACCTTAAAGTGAGTTTGTGGCTCTGTACACCAACATTGAAACTACAACAAGCTGTAACATTTTGACTGAAATGTCGTCTTAACAAAATAATTTATGAGAGATAATTTCATTGGCACGTTTGAGGAGTAATTCATACCTTGCATGTATGTATGTGTGTTTTGTTTCCAGGCTGTGAACTCTGCTAAGAAGTACTACAACAACGAGCACATCTACCCCTTCATGTACCTGGCTGGCTACCACTACAGGTCCGGGGAGGTCCGGGAGGCACTGGGGGCCTGGGCCGAGGCTGCACAGGTCATGCAGGAGTATGTTACCGGGGCAACTAGCCTAGCTACCTTCTCTATGCGCCTTACACTGCTGCTCTGTGTCAACTATCTGTGTCTTACGGTAAAACGTATGTTTGGCCCAGAGAAATAACCTTTGGCATCATTCGTTTAAGTGTCCCTTCGCTAACGTAATGCCTTATTGATTCTTTATGTAATGAAAAGAGCTATAAAAGATACAAATTATTATTACATTATTATTGAAACCATGGATGCTGAGGCAAAGCCTGTTGACCATCTCTTGCTGAGGTACGCAGTGACAATTTACACCAGTTGCTGTTTCACCTTTCTGACAGCAGAGGGCAGCAGATGCCTCGCTGTAATGTTAGGGTGTTAGTTACCTCATTAAATGACATTGTCATTTCAGGCTAGCTTGAGATTTTATGACATTATACTCATTATATTGCATGCACATATTCTAGGGGCATAATTTAGTCTGACTAACAGGGTGTGGGTAGCCTAAATACGATCGCAGGGAACTTCCCTCCAGCGTTGGCTCTGGTCCTCGTGGGGCTGTAAACCTGCACTTTACTCGCACTTAAACACTGTTCATCAGCCTGCCAGGGCTAAAAATACTGACCGACCCAATCACAGGGAACAGGCGACGGGCCGATTCCTCCCGTTTCTTTCTCTCTCTGTCTGTCTCTCCGTCTCCTCTAGGATATGTGCACCAGGCACGCGCAGAGTGCCAAGTCAGTACATTCCCTCTCCTCTCTCGACACTTCTTTACCTCTCTGCCTTTCCTGTTTCACCCATTGTTCTTCAGTCTCGGCTCCCTCCGCTTGCTGTCACGACAACAAGGAACATGGCGTGTGATCTACAAACATATACATAACATGAAGTTTTTGAGTATATTCTATCATGTTTTTGGTTTTCTGCCAAAAAGAAGAGATACAAGTGTTCACACCATTTAATATCCCTTTTACTGCGTACGTGGAAAATAAATAACATTACTATTTAATTCATGAAAGGTCATCACGAACTGACACTTGAAAAAATAAAATTAAAAAAAATCCCACCTCGTGAGCTTTATAACAATGTGTGATGATCTCAACTGTGTACTTGTTCTCCCACCCCCCTCCCCCCAGCTACAACTACTTTCGCGAGGACGAAGAGATCTATAAGGAGTTTTTCGACATCGCCAACGACGTCATCCCCACCCTGCTGAAGGAGACGGCTGCAGCTGCTGAGAGCGGAGGGGAAGGAGGAGAAAAGGTCATTACTAGTGGAATTTTACATCTCAGTTTAATCTCATGTCCCAGAGTGATGCATTAATAATAGCTCATATTACAGCTAATGTCTTTCATTGATGTATTGAATGGACCCCTTTCATCTAACTTCCCCCTCTATCTATTCTCTGCTCATTTCCTTTGTATTTCCATTCGTTTCTCTCTCTACCTCTCTCTCTCTACCTCTGTACCTCTCTCTCTCTACCTCAGGACCAGCCCATACAGGCCTCGGCCCTCCAGGACCCAGAATGCTTTGCCCACCTGTTGCGGTTCTATGACGGTATCTGTAAGTGGGAGGAGGGAAGCCCCACCCCCGTCCTCCACGTGGGCTGGGCCACCTACCTGGTCCAGTCCCTCAGTCGCTTTGACGCACAGGTAATCACACCACCACAAGCCTGAACTATCCCTTTAAAGTCAACCCTATTCACTTTAAAGGGATATTCCCCTCAAAATAGAACCTATTTAACCCACAAACCTGGAACATCCCTTTTAAAACACTTATTATATCCTTGTTCACTGTTACATCCTCCACAGATCCGTCAAAAAGTGTCAATCATCACCAAAGAGCCGGAGCCCCAGGACGACGACGACCAATCCAGCGAGGACCCCCGCGAGGGGCGAAGACGTGGCCCGAGACGCGAGTCCAAACTGGAAGACCAAGCTTCCCCTCCTACCCAATCCACCCCCACCACCACCCCTGTCCCACCACCAACCCAGCCCGCCCAGGCCAAGAAAATAGGTGGCGAGGGCGGGACGCGGCGTCGCTCCTCAGGGCTCCGCGGCGGAGACCCAGAAGGCAAGGCCAAGTCCCCCAGCCCGGTGCCCTCTCCTGCCCAACAGCTGCCCTCCCCCAGCGTGGGTCCCCTGGTGGCCTTCCAGAGCAAGAAGATGAAAGGCATGAAGGAGCTGCTGTCTGCAGCCAAGATCAACTCCAGCGCCATCAAGCTGCAGCTCACCGCCCAGTCACAGGTGCAGATGAAGAGGCAGAAGAGCACGCCGTCGGGAGACTACACCATGTCATTCATGAAGCGCCAGCGCAAATCTCTGTAGAAGGAGGACTTTCTCTAGCCTGGTTCCCAGGTCTGGTTGTGTTGTATAGCCAACTCTTATGGTCATTGTCATGGGAGTTGTCTATACCGCACAAACAGATCTGTGAACCAGGCTAGAGTTTCTCTCCATTGGGAGAAAAACGAAGGGAGACTGTCTGTAGGACCGACTGTGAGAGGCAAGGCAATACAAACAAAACTGCTGCATCTGCGATTTGCTGAGTTTATTTTAGCAATCATATCATAAGCCCTGATAAGGTCATAAGAAGGTCGGTAAGCACATGACACACGTGTACATGTGGAGGTAGTCACTTTAATCAAGTTTGAACAGAATTGTTGATCAAGTCGTTCTTTTTAATCTTGTGATTCAATAATGATTGTGTGTCATAGGCCGTTAAAACATTCAATTGCTGTCACTTTGTGTGGATCTATTGGACAGTAGTGCACATCAACTCTTGAGTTCTCACTGACTTATGTGTAGAAGTGCTGTAAAGCCAAAGTAATGGTGAAAACACCCTGTCCCTGAACATGTTTTGGGATGGGGGAATTGCTCTGTTAGAAAGCAGTCTGAATTCCATTCTGTATTTTCTGCCCTTGAATCTTAATTTTCATATTTTTGATTGAAATCCCTGGAAGTGATTCTGACTATTACTGTGTAACAATGTCCAACTCTGTTACGTTGTCTCTTTATGCTAGCTATTTGTTGCCTTATATTTTGCCTTTTATTTCTAATTTAGGTAGCCTTTAGTTTTGAGAATAGCCAGAACTGCAATAGAAAGTGACCAGAAAGACCACACACTGTTTAAAGGGGATTGTTGTAGGTGTCCCAGCTAGCTACACACAGTAGTATTTTGCTTGATAACTTTTTTTTATTTTTTATCTGCAGATAATAAAATAAGTTGAAATATGATACCCTTTCTCTTTTGAATAAATGGAAATACTGTTTCACATGTCATAATGCCGTATTCATAGATGTCTGGGATGTACAGTGTGCATCTGCTAGTCTGCTTTCCTGAGCTGGAAAATTATGTCATGCGAAAATATTATAAGATTTGGGATTTGATCACTTGACTTGGATACACAACGGTGCCTAATCAATCAAATGTATTTATAAAGCACTTTTTAACATCCGCAGATGTCACAAAGCGCTTATACAGAAACCCAGCCTAAAACCCCAGGTGTGGTTTGGCTAGAATAAGATGAATGACTGGAAAGAAGAGTGACATTTGTGGTGTCTGGTGACCTAATCAATACCTATACTGTGTCAGGCTATTAGATATATTTGTCTGTCAGAAGAATCGTGGTGTAGTATTGCGCTCCAGGGTTTACTGCAACTATACCGCGCGTCCAGTGGTTGATTCGCTGTATGTATTGTTATCATGAGTGAATAGAAACGTGCGTGAGAGACCAGACGCAGTTCAGTCTGCAAGCATGGATACCACTATTGGAGTCTCGTTTTTGGACCCGTTGAATGATTACGAGTTAATTCATCGTATTGGGACTGGCACGTACGGAGACGTGTTCAAGGTGAGTCCTGAGTGGGTAAAATGTCAGCTCGGCTTGGAGACAAGCACACATATGCGTTTTAATAGGCTCCATATGGGTTAGGTTGTTGCGCGGTTGACTTGTCAAGTCACGTAGCCTAGCTGTTTGAAATATTGTTGGACTTTATGTTGACAGGTTACAAATTTAAAACTGCATAGAAAAGCTACCATACTTTTTTATCAATGTGTCCTTTCTCTCAAATGTAATCAAACTTTTACGCACGAATTAACATAATATAGGCTATGACTGTAAGTCGCTTTGGATAAAAGCGTCTGCTAAATGGCATATTATTATTATTACAATGTCAAACTGTATTTATTACCACAACATATAATAAGGGATATGCAGGTAAGGTTGGCCATATGGCGCCCCTGCCTACCGCTATTTGAGAATAATGCGGGTATAGGAGAGATACAGTACGTGCCCACATGTTAATGATGCTCGGTGCCTATAATGCCCATACCACTGGCAGTAGTAGTTCTTCTGCTGATCAGTATTCATAATCAGGCTGGGATGGCGTCCGGGCTGGCCTTTTAGTCCAACATCCATCAGTACCCTTAAAGGAACATTTAAAAGGGCTCAAGACATTCCATTCCGTTGTATTAGACCTGCTATACACATTTTATTAGCTCTCCTCTCAGCAGTACTAAAAAGCTCTCAGCAATACCTTTATTCCTTGCTGCTATTGTGACAGAAGAATAGCCTGTTTCATAGATCACCTTTTAAGTCAGGTGGATGCTACAAGATTTCAAGTCTGAAGGGCACTGTGACTTTTATCAGCACTGTTTTATGTATCTTGGCTATCGACGCCTAATTTGTTGAAAGGTCTTTTTCGATCAGTCTCTTCTATTTTGACTTGGTGATTTGAGCTGCAGGAAACAAACATCCTGTAATCCCACCCTGAAAGTCTCATTCATGCATCCTGCGAGAGAGACAGACTCAAATCGTTGTGTGCCTCTCCTCCCCTACCCGAAACATTTCCTATCCAATAAGCTACAAATGTAAACAGACACACAATGGACAACATTTACTTTAAAACACAATTATGTTCACTTTTGGGCTAATGATTTATGAACAATTCAAAATATCCCTTAGAAATGTACTTTGTTTCTCTCAGTCTCAAAGTTATGGAATGTGCACCCCTGCCACATAGCGACATGTCACTGCCCGGGCTGTGCCTGCCTGCCTGCCTGCTGTGAATGAGGAAACTGTTACTGTCCCACAGACAATGGCCTGTTGTCACCTCCCACTACCTCACCGTACTCCTCTTCTCCTCCACTGTTCTGTTTCTCCAGCCTTAGTGTAGCTGCCTGGAGGTCAGGGGTCAAACCACTGGCCCTGTGACCTAGTGGGCTCTCTGACTGTGTGAACATTCAAGGTGACCATTGTTCACAAGATCCACGAAACTTCTAGCTACTCAGCTGAGGGCTCAGTTTTCAAGTGAGTGACCTTTTGCGGCTATGTAAATAATAGAAAGTATGTCACTCACCGCATAGTCAAGAATGGTTAGATTTCCTGATAATCGCAAAGACCCCATTAGGTGGTTTCTTTTATGAGTGAATAGTTCCTTTTGTCTTGCATTCTGGTGTGGATGAGGTGTACGTACTTACATTCATATTTATATACTTGTTATGACCTGACTGAGATTGCCTGAGGTTCGATGGTGGGGGAAACCCACAAAACAGAAAAACGTTTCACAAACCAGCAGCAGCACTGTATAGCTCAGTCACACACACACACACACACACACACACACACACACACACACACACACACACACACACACACACACACACACACACACACACACACACACACACACTACCATTTGGGCTGTTGCTGCAGTTGTGGGCCTATCTATCTCTCACTGAATATCATTAATGGTTTGAGGCCAGTTTAATGCAACACGCATCTGAAATGATCATACGGAAAAGCTCTGTGTTTTTGTTGTATGTAATTTCCACTCTGATTCAATCAAGCTTTGTGAGAATGAACTTTTGGAACCTTGATCAAAGTGGTGGTGAAGTTTCTTTTCATTCCCATTGTCTGTAACTCTATCCCACAACAAACTGTTATTTCAGGCTGGCCAGTGACGAACCTTAAAGAGACATTACTGTCACTTTAGTCACAGGAAGTGCTCTGGTATAACAGTGGGGGAAAAAACAGGAATTCGGTGTAGCCAAGCATCATGTTTTGTTTACAGGCAACCTGATGGCCCTTAGGCTGATTCTATGCTTGTTTTTAATAGGTAGAGCTAAGGACCTTAAAACCTGACTTCACTTCAACGTTTGACCTTTCTGAAAGAATGGGAGCAATACATATTTACAGGATAAACCAGGAGGAAATGATGGATGTTGTAAACAACATCCTTTGGATTCAAAAGCAGGGACTTTTCCCTCAGCACTTCTTACGTAACGGCTGATGTCCCAATATAAACCATGTCGCTGACCTTGACACTTAAGGCTCTAGGTCTGTCATAAGCGTCAATACAGGACCAAGATCAAATCCTACTACACTGGCTTTGATGCTCATTGGAGGTGGCAGGGCTTGCAAACTATCACGGATTACAAAGGGAAACCCAGCCGCGAGCTGTCCAGTGACGCAAGCCTACCAGACGAACTAAAAACCTTCTATGCACTGAACCATGCATGAGAGCACCAGCTGTTCCGGATGACTCTGTGATCAACGCTCACCGTAGCCAATGTGAGTAAGACCTTTAAACAGGTTAACATTCACAAGGGCGGATGGATTTACCAGGACGCATACTCAGAGCATGCACTGACCAGCTGGCAAGTGTCTTCACTAACATTTTCAACCTCTCCCTGACCCAGTCTGTAATACCTACATGTTTCAAGCAGACCACTATAGTCCCTGTGGCCAAGAACGCCAAGGTAACCTGTCTAAATGACTATTGTCCCGTAGCACTCACATCTGTGGCCATGAAATGCTTTGAAAGGCTGTTCATGGCTCACATCAACACCATCATCCCAGACACCCTGGAGAGCTTCAAGTTCCTCGGTGTCCACATCACTAAGGACCTATCATTGTCCAAACACACCAACATAGTCGTGAAGAGGACATGACAACGCCTCTTCCCCCTCAGGAGGCTGAAAAGATTTGTCATGGGCCCTCAGATTCTCAAAAAGTTATACAGTTGCACCATTGAGAGCATCTTGACTGGCTGCATCACCGCTTCGTATGGCAACTGCTTGGCGTCCGACCACAAGGCGCTACAGAGGGTAATGTGTACGGCCCAGTACATAACTGGGGATGAGCTCCTTGCCATCCAGGCCCTAAAAATGGTCTCCAGCAACCCAAGTCATAGACTCTTCTTTATGCTACCGCACGGCAAGCTGTACCAGAGTGCCAAGTCTGGAACCAAAAGGCTCCTGAAAAAGCTTCTACCCCAAAGCCACAAGACTGCTGAACAGTTAATCAAATGGCTACCCAGACTATTTGCATTGACACCCTTTTTCTTTGAAATGACATTCTTGCACTGGCTCTATGCACACTCACTGGACTCTACCCACACACTCACACATACTACACTGACACACCAACACACACACACACACACACACTCACACACTACATACGCTCACACACACACAACATTTCCCCACATTTTGTTACACTACAGCCTTATTCTAAAATGTATACAATTGTTTTTTCCCCTCATCAATCTACACACAATACCCCATAATGACAAAGCAAAAACCGGTTTATAGGCATTTTTGCAAAATTATAAAGAAATAAAAAACGGAACTATCACATTCCCATAAATATTCAGACCCTTTACTCAGTACTTTGTTGAAGCGCCTTTGGCAGCGATTATAGCCTCGAGTCTTATTGGGTATGACGATACAAGCTTTGCACACACCTGTATTTGAGGAGTTTCTCCCATTCGTCTCTGCAGATCCTCTCAAGCTCTGTCAGGTTGGATGGGGAGAGTCGCTGCACAGCTATTTTCAGGTCTCTCCAGAAATGTTCAATCGGGTTCAAGTTCGGGCTCTGGCTGGGCCACTCAAGGACATTCAGAGACTTGTCCCAAAGCCACTCTTGCGCTGTCTTGGCTGTGTGCTTAGGGTCGTTGTCCTGTTGGAAGGTGAACCTTCGCCCCAGTCTGAGGTCCTGAGCGCTCTGGAGCAGGTTTTCATCAAGGATCTTTCTGTACTTTGCTCCGTTCATCTTTCCCTCGATCCTGACTAGTCTCCCAGCCCCTGCCGCTGAAAAACTTCCCCACAGCATGATGCTGCCACCACCATGCTTCATTGTAGGGATGGTGCCAGGTTTCCTCCAGTCGTGACGATTGGCATTCAGGCCAAAGAGTTCAATCTTGGTTTCATCAGACCAGAGAATCTTGTTGCTCATGGTCTGAGAGTCCTTTAGATGCCTTTTGGCAAACCAAGTGGGCTGTCGTGCCTTTTGCTGAGGAGTGGCTTCCGTCTGGCCACTCTACCATAAAGGCTTGATTGGTGTAGTGCTGCAGAGACGGTTGTCCTTCTGAAAGGTTTCTCCCATCTCCACAGAGGCACTCTGGAGCTCTGTCAGCGTGACCATCAGGTTCTTGGTCACCTCCCTGACCAAGGCCCTTCTCCCCCGATTACTCAGTTTGGCCGGGCGGCCAGCTCTAGGAAGAGTCTTGGTGGTTCAAAACTTGTTCCATTTAAGAATGATGGAGGCCACTGTGTTCTTGGGGACCTTCAATGCTGCAGAAATGTTTTGGTACCCTTCCCCAGATCTGTTCCTCGACACAATCCTGTCTCGGAGCTCTACGGACAATTCCTTCGACCTCATGGCTTGGTTTTTGCTCTGACATGTACTGTCAACTGTGGGACCTTATATAGACAGGCGTGTGCCTTTCAAAATCATGTCCAATCAATTGAACTCCAATCAAGTTGTAGAAACATCTCAAGGATGATCAATGGAAACAGGATGCACCTGAGCTCCATTTCTAGTCTCATAGCAAAGGGTCTGAATACATGTAAATAAGGTATTTTAATTTTTACTTTTTTAGTACATTTGCCAAAATGTCTAAAAATCTGTTTTGGATTTGTCATGATGGGGTATTGTGTGTTTTAGAATAAGGCTGTAACAAAATATGGAAAAAGTGAAGGGCTCTGAATACTTTCCGAATGCACTGTACGTACACACATGCATATTGACGCCACACAGACACACACACTTAGATACTCTTTCACACTCTTCACATACGCTGCTGCTGCTACTCTATTTATTATCTATCCTGACTGCTTAGTCACTTTTACCTCTACCTACATGTACAGTGGGGGAAAAAAGTATTTAGTCAGCCACCAATTGTACAAGTTCTCCCACTTAAAAAGATGAGAGAGGCCTGTAATTTTCATCATAGGTACACGTCAACTATGACAGACAAAATGAGAAAAAAAAATCCAGAAAATCACATTGTAGGATTTTTAATTAATTTATTTGCAAATTATGGTGGAAAATAAGTATTTGGTCACCTACAAACAAGCAAGATTTCTGGCTCTCACAGACCTGTAACTTCTTCTTTAAGAGGCTCCTCTGTCCTCCACTCGTTACCTGTATTAATGGCACCTGTTTGAACTTGTTATCAGTTTAAAAGACACCTGTCCACAACCTCAAACAGTCACACTCCAAACTCCACTATGGCCAAGACCAAAGAGCTGTCAAAGGACACCAGAAACAAAATTGTAGACCTGCACCAGGCTGGGAAGACTGAATCTGCAATAGGTAAGCAGCTTGGTTTAAAGAAATCAACTGTGGGAGCAATTATTAGGAAATGGAAGACATACAAGACCACTGATAATCTCCCTCGATCTGGGGCTCCACGCAAGATCTCACCCCGTGGGGTCAAAATGATCACAAGAACGGTGAGCAAAAATCCCAGAACCACATGGGGGGACCTAGTGAATGACCTGCAGAGAGCTGGGACCAAAGTAACAAAGCCTACCATCAGTAACACACTACGCCGCCAGGGACTCAAATCCTGCAGTGCCAGACGTGTCCCCCTGCTTAAGCCAGTACATGTCCAGGTCCGTCTGAAGTTTGCTAGAGTGCATTTGGATGATCCAGAAGAGGATTGGGAGAATGGCATATGGTCAGATGAAACCAAAATAGAACTTTTTGGTAAAAACTCAACTCGTCGTGTTTGGAGGACAAAGAATGCTGAGTTGCATCCAAAGAACACCATACCTACTGTGAAGCATGGGGGTGGAAACATCATGCTTTGGGGCTGTTTTTCTGCAAAGGGACCAGGACGACTGATCCGTGTAAAGGAAAGAATGAATGGGGCCATGTATCGTGAGATTTTGAGTGAAAACCTCCTTCCATCAGCAAGGGCATTGAAGATGAAACGTGGCTGGGTCTTTCAGCATGACAATGATCCCAAACACACCGCCCGGGCAACGAAGGAGTGGCTTCGTAAGAAGCATTTCAAGGTCCTGGAGTGGCCTAGCCAGTCTCCAGATCTCAACCCCATAGAAAATCTTTGGAGGGAGTTGAAAGTCCATGTTGCCCAGCGACAGCCCCAAAACATCACTGCTCTAGAGGAGATCTGCATGGAGGAATGGGCCAAAATACCAGCAACAGTGTGTGAAAACCTTGTGAAGACTTACAGAAAACGTTTGACCTGTGTCATTGCAAACAAAGGGTATATAACAAAGTATTGAGAAACTTTTGTTATTGACCAAATACTTATTTTCCACCATAATTTGCAAATAAATTCATTAAAAATCCAACAATGTGATTTTCTGGGGGAAAAAAATCCTCATTTTGTCTGTCATAGTTGACGTGTACCTATGATGAAAATTACAGGCCTCTCTCATCTTTTTAAGTGGGAGAACTTGCACAATTGGTGGCTGACTAAATACTTTTTTCCCCCACTGTACATATTACCTCAGTTACCTCAACTACCTTGTAGCCATGCACATTGACTCTGTACCGGTACTCCTTGTATGTAGCCTCTTTATAGTTATTTTATTGTATTACTATTTCCTTTATTTATTTGATTTTGCAAATATTTTCTTACTTTTTAACTCTGCATTGTTGGGAAAGGGCTCGTAAGTAAGCATTTCACGGTAAAGTCTACACCTGTTATATTCGGCGCATGTGACAAATACAATTTGATTTGAGGGTGCTATTTCGGACGCACCCTGGGACTGTGTAGAACAGACAGACCTCTCACCAACAGACCTCTCACCAACAGACCTCTCACCAACAGACCTCTCACCAACAGACCTCTCACCAACAGACCTCTCACCAACAGACCTCTCACCAACAGACCTCTCACCAACAGAACCCTCACCAACAGACCTCTCACCAACAGACCTCTCACCAACAGACCTCTCACCAACAGACCTCTCACCAACAGACCTCTCACCAACAGAACCCTCACCAACAGAACCCTCACCATCCAGCACACCCTGTCTCCTGCTGTTGTATCAATCCAAGGTGAAGCTGAAGGTCAGAGATAACAGGTGACCAGCCGGGCCAGAAAACCAGGAACTAACTAATATTGGGTCTTTTATCATCAAGATGGCTGACTATGGGGTTTGGGTCTTGGATGGATGCCCAGGGCTTCCTATAGTGATGTGAGGAATGTGGCAGACCTCCAAACAGAGATGAAAATTCATTTAGAAACAAGCTAGAGAGAAAACAGATAATAGACTGTTGTAAATAGAGCAATTGCAAGGAGTCATCAGCAAGTTGATGCAATAGCCGTAAGGAAACATTGATTACTGTTGGTTTTGTTCCACTCTAATGGGGTCTAGTGCTGACTAATATATGGCGTTCTGTAGCCTGTATACTCTGTAGCAAAGTTCACAGGAAAGTTCACACTAGTAATCACTCGCAGCTAACTTTACCCTTTCTTTCAGGCTCGCAACATCAGGAGTTCAGCAATGGCAGCCATCAAAATAGTAAAACTGGATCCTGGTAAGTGAACAGCTCAGTGTTGTCAGACCTGTATTATGGGTAATTTCTTGCATGTTTTGCCTTCATGCATACTTTGTGTAGTTATTCTTAACAATTTTTAAACAATCTATTGTGTGTGTGATACAGTGAGTTAACTACTACTAGTATTAGCAGCAGCAGCAGTAGTAGTAGTAGTTCTAGTACTACTAGCAGCAGTAGTAGTAGTAGTTCTAGTACTACTAGTAGCAGTAGTAGTAGTAGTTCTAGTACTACTAGTAGCAGTAGTAGTAGTAGTTCTAGTACTAGTATCAGTAGTAGTAGTAGTTCTATTAGTAGTATCAGTAATAGTAGTAGTTCTATTACTAGTATCAGTCGTAGTAGTAGTAGTAGCAACAATAGTAGTAGTAGTAGTAGTAGTAGTAGTAATAGTAGTACTAGTAGTAGTAGTATTAGCAGCAGTAGTAGTAGCAGTAGCAGCAGTAGCAGTAGTAGCAGCAGTAGCAGTAGTAGTAGTAGTAGTAGTAGTAGTTATAGTACTAATATCAGTGTTAGTGTTGAGATGTCAGGAAATACATTGCCTAAATCTGTGTGTCTCTGATTGGTCACGTGACCTGCATGCTCTCTGTTCAGGTGATGACATCACATCCATCCAGCAGGAGATCACTATGATGAAGGAATGTAAACACAAGAACATTGTGGCCTATTTCGGCAGCTATCACAGGTACATGTTTAAGTTTCATGAGAGTCCACGTCCATCCATGGAATTCCTTGGATTGTGAGTGTTCTTGGATGTGTTCTTTGATGTGTCGAATTCCACTATTATCTCAAACAGCCACTACTAGGACACAGAATGCAACATTCTCTCCCACACCACAGATAATATAGCGCTCAAAATGAAGTTGATACATACAAAAAAGTTATGTTGTTGATAGAGGTCACTAACAAACACATAGGGAGAAACATACAATATGCACGCGCACACATACACACACACACTGTCACTGACTTTAAAATTGATTTAGCTCAAGGTTTTCTCCTTTTTAGGGTCGTTACCTCTGTAACATTTCAAGATCAGATAATAATGTGATTTGTTTGGATTGTAAAACTCTTCGACTCAGTTCTCTACAGCCAAGTTCTCAGAAATCTGTCTAAAAATGACCTATAATCCATATTTGGATGTAAACACCCTTTTTTAGTCTGGAAAGCCAAAGGAACAGAAGGCATTGACAAAAGACTGATAATAAAACTGTGTATCTCTAATTTTTGCAGGAACACTAAATTATGGATATGCATGGAGTACTGTGGAGGGGGGTCGTTACAAGACATTTACCACGGTACGCACAGCTAAAACAGAATTTACCCGACTTGAAAGTCATCGATGTTCCACCCTCCCTTGTATGTGCCATTAATCTCAGGTCTCTACTGGTATTTCCACAGTGACTGGGCCGTTCAAGGAGAAGCAGATAGCCTACATCTGCAGAGAAACCCTCCAGGTTAGTCAGTCATATAAGATATGAGCTCTGTCACTTTCCTAACTGGGGGATACAGTCACAGTATAATCACACGTCTTTCTAACCACAGGAAAGCGATGCATCAAGTTTCGTGGCACCACACACAGCACAGCAACATAACATTACCTCCCTTATTCATGTCAGCAGTTTGTGTTTGTTGCCAGGGCCAGCTCTAGCCTTTTGGGAGATTTGGTTAGACTAACCTACCAATCAAAAAATGTTTTGCTGACATGGCTAATTGAGTGACTGTCAGTGACTGGCTAAACAAGTGAAAAACTTCTGATGCACAACCAAATTTCAAATGCACAACCAAAACTCTTAACAGTAAGTTGAGACCTAGACTGAGTTCCCCAAAAATATGTATTCTTTTTTGAAGGGGAGGTCGGGGGCCCACTATGGGCCGGGGGCCCTAAGTGACTGGCTATGTTGCTTATGCCTGGAGCCAGCCCTGTTTGTTGTGTTGCTTATGCCTGGAGCCAGCCCTGTTTGTTGCTCACTGTTGTGTTGTGACTGGCTCCATAAAATCAAATCAAATGAAATTATATTTGTCACATGCGCTGAATACAACAGGTGTAGACCTTACAGTGAAATGCTTACTTACAAGCCCTCAACCAACAATGCAGTTTTAAGAACAAATAAGTGTTAAGAAAGTATTTACTAAATAAACTGAAGTAAACAATAAATAAATAAAAATGGAAAAATAATAATTAAAGAGCAACAATAAAATAACAGTAACGAGGCTGCTTGTAGGGAGAGATGGGCAGTATTTCTGTTACGTCTATTTGAAATTAGTATTAGTATTTCAATTACTTTTGATTATTTTGTAGTTTGTCTTTCAGTGGCCTAAACTACAGTCCAATGTATTTTGTAACAAGATACTTTAAAGAGCTGTATTTTGTATTTTCTAAATACTTTTCAACAGTCTTGATAGAAAATAATATAGGGTCTATTTCTATGTATTGTAATTCAATACAATACTTAGCAAAAGTATTTTGTATTTTATTTTGATACATTTGTCTTTAGGATATTTTGGAATTGTATTTTGTATTTTTTTGCCCATCTCTGCTAATGATGAGGTTGAGAGATTTGTCAAGCTGATTCTGTGTTTTTTTTTTTGACAGGGTTTGTACCACCTGCATGAGACAAGTAAAATGCATAGGGACATAAAGGTATAATTTTGACATAGCTGTATGTTATTGTTGTCAGTCTGTGGCTCTTCTGTCTTTATATCTTTGTGAGCTTGTGTGTGTGTGTGTGTGTGTGTTGTGTGTGTGTGTGTGTGTGTGTGTGTGTGTGTGTGTGTGTGTGTGTCCATCTGTCTATAGGGAGCGAATATCCTCATCACAGAACGAGGAGACATCAAACTGGGTCAGTGAACATCTATTCTATACCATCTATCATACACACACACACACACACACACACACACACACACACACACACACACACACACACACACACACACACACACACACACACACACACACACACACACACACACACACACACACACACACACACACACACACACACACACACACACACACACACTGTCTGCGAAAACGTTGAGGTTAACTAGCGTGCTAAAAACAAACCACTCATAAGACATATTGGATTCTGGATTCGGTCTCCCTCAGCGACTAGACTGTCTCTCACTCTCTGTCTCTGTTTCCCTGTAGCCGATTTTGGAGTTGCTGTCTCTCACTCTCTGTTTCCCTGTAGCTGATTTTGGAGTTGCTGCAGAGATCAGTGTTTCTGTAGCCAAGAGGAAGTCTTTTATAGGAACACCCTACTGGTAAGATAACTGAACTCAAACCACCACCTTCAACGTTATGACTCTAATTGAAAACATATATACTTCCTGCTTACTTTCACCGTATCAGTTAACTTCTTTATGCAGACACTGATTGGTCTGTTCTTTATGCAGACACTGATTGGTCTGTTCTTTATGAAGACACTGATTAGTCTGCTTTAAGCAGACACTGATTGGTCGGTTCTTTATGCAGACACTGATTGGTCGGTTCTTTATGCAGACACTGATTGGTCTGGTCATAGTCATACATGTGTCTTCTAACAGAACAAACTTTCAGGATCATTATGAAATGATAATATTTTATATACATGCTCATGACAAGTCTTACAATGCATTATAACTATTATAATACTAATTTCATCTGGCTGGTATTTATGTACCCATGCCAGGATGGCACCGGAGGTGGCAGCAGTGGAGAAGAAGGGCGGGTACAACCATCTGTGTGACATCTGGGCAGTGGGCATCACGGCCATCGAGCTGGCAGAGCTCCAGCCGCCAATGTTTGACCTCCACCCTATGAGGTGAGACACAGACACAGGCACAGGCACAAACACAGACACAGACACAAACACAAACACAGACAGAGACACAGACACAGACACAGACATACAGAGGCACAGACACAGACACAGACACAGACACAGGCACTGGCACAAACAGAGACAGAGACAGAGACAGACAGAGACACAGACAGGCAGAAACAGATCCAGATATCCAGGCAGAAACAGGGACACAGACTTGGCTCCATACCAATCCCCTCTGGACTCTAGCCTTAACCTCAACAATAAATAGTTTCCATTCTATCCCTTTTTCCTTCGCTCCTTTAGATCCACCAAAGTTGGATAAAAGAGAGAGAGATGAAGATAGATATGTGTTATGTGGGTTATCCACATACCTCAATATGGTATAATAGCTTGGTGTGTGACTCAACTATTTCCCACACTTTGGTAGCACATGTGTTTGTGCTTCAGACAACCCCCTCTGTAGTGCTCATTGTTATGCCAAACATGTCAGCGAATGACAAAGGAGTTGGCTTAAGCACATTATAAACAGATCTCTACAACCAGGCTAGGTTTTCCACCGTGTTGACATTTCAAACTATTAAAACTGTGTTCCAGAGCCTTGATGTTGATGTCAAAAAGCAGCTTCCAGCCTCCCAGGCTCAAGGACAAGACCAAGTGGTGAGATGAACATGATTACACCGTATTCCCAAAACAATTCAGACATCTCACAATGCATCATCCGTGCCATAGCTGTACTCTAAAACCATCCTCCTGACACTAGACTGTTCTTTGAACGAGGCATCCATGTCCTCTAGGATGTGAATGTGTTTCTGCTGTCTCATCTCTCTCGCCCTCCCCCTCTCTCTCTCTGAAGGTCTGCAGGGTTCCAGAGCTTCGTGAAGATGTCCCTCATTAAGAACCCAAGGAAGAGGCCGTCGGCCGAGACCTTACTGCAGGTACACTACTGTGCACTCTGCTCAACTCTCTCTTTCCCTGAGGCATTATTAATTAAGCAATAAGGCACGAGGGGGTGTGGTATATGGCCAATATACCACGGCTAAGCGCTGTTCTTATGTACGACGCAACGCGGAGTGCCTGGATACAGCCGTTAACCTTATTGCTATTATAAACTGGTTACCAATGTAATTACAACAGTAAAAATGAATTTTTGGTCATACCTGTGGTATATGGTCTGATATACCACAGCTTTCAGCCAATCAGCATTCAGGGCTCGAACCACCTGGTTTATTTACATTTACATTACATTTACGTCATTTAGCAGACGCTCTTATCCAGAGCGACTTACAATAAGGAACAGCCCCTGAAAGACAATCAATACTCCCCATTGTTATAGACAGAGCCTCTGGGGGCGCCGGAGAATGGCTGCCGTTTTACGGGCTCCTAACCAACTGTGCTATTTTGTGTGTTTTTTTCGCATTGTTTGTAACTTATTTTGTACATAATGTTGCTACTACCAACTCTTATGACCGAAAAGAGCTTCTGGATATCAGAACAGCGATTACCCACCTTGAACTGGACGAAGATTTTTTCTTTAATGAGTCCGACGCGAAGGATATACTGCTTCTCTGAGACCAGGCCCAAATCCCCCATCATTCGCGTGAAAAAAAGACAGAAATACAGGGAGCGGAGATCGGGGTGCCTTGTGAGAATATGTCGGGGAGTTGATAACCCTCCTCTACCATCCGTTCTATTGGCCAACGTGCAATCATTGGAAAATAAACTGGATGATCTCCGCTCGAGACTATCCTACCAACGGGACATTAAAAACTGTAATATCTTATGTTTCACCGAGTCGTGGCTGAACGACGACACGGATAATATTCAGTTGGCTGGGTTTTCCGTGCATCGGCAGGACAGAACAGCTACGTCTGGTAAGACGAGGGCTGGGGGTGGGTGTCTATTTGTCAATAATAGCTGGTGCGCGATGTCTAATATTAAGGAGGTATCGAGGTATTGCTCGCCTGAGGCAGAGTACCTCATGATAAACTGTAGACCACACTATCTACCAAGAGAGTTTTCATCTATATTTTTTGTAGCCGTCTATTTACCACAACAAACCGATGCTGGCACTAAGACCGCACTCAACGAAATGTATAAGGCCATAAGCAAACAAGAAAATGCTCATCCAGAAGCGGCGTGCCTAGTGGCCGGGGACTTTAATGCAGGCAAACTTTAAATCAGTTTTACCTAATTTCTACCAGCATGTCACATGTGCAACCAGAGGAATTAAACTCTAGATCACCTTTACTCCATATACAGAGACGCATACAAAGCTCTCCCTCGCCCTCCATTTTGCAAATCTTGACCATAATTCTATCCTCCTGATTCCTGTTTACAAGCAAAACCTAAAGCAGGAAGTACCAAGTGACTCACTCAATAACGGAAGTGTGTCGATGACACGGATGCTACGCTACAGGACTGTTTTGCTAGCACAGACTGGAATATGTTCCGGGAGGAGTATACCACCTCAGTCACTGGCTTCATCAATAAGTGCATTGACGATGTCGTCCCCACAGTGACCGTACATACATATCCCAACCTGAAGCCATGGATTACAGGCAACATCTGCACCGAGCTAAAGGCTAGAGCTGCCGCTTTCAAGGAGCAGGACACTAATCCGGATGCTTATAAGAAATCTTGCTATGCCCTCAGACGAACCATCAAACAGTCAAAGCTTCAATACAGGACTAAGATTGAATCCTGCTACACCTGCTCTGACTCTCGTCGGATGTGGCAGGGCTTGCAACCTATTACGGACTACAAAGGGAAACCCAGCCGCAAGCTGCCAAGTGACGCAAGCCTACCAGATGAGCTAAATTACTTTTATGCTCGCTTCGAGGCAAGCAACACTGAAGCATGCATGAGAGCACCAGCTGTTCCAGATGACTGTATGATCACGCTCTCCGTAGCCGATGTGAGCAAGACCTTTAAACAGGTCAACATTCACAAGGCCGCGGGGCCAGACAGATTACCAGGACATGTACTCAGAGCATGAGCGGACCAACTGGCAAGTGTCTTCACTGACATTTTCAACCTCTCCCTGACCGAGTCTGTAATACCTACATGTTTCAAGCAGACCACCATAGTCCCTGTGACCAAGAAAGCGAAGGTAACCTGCCTAAATGACTACTGCCTCCTAGCACTCACGTCGGTAGCCATGAAGTGCTTTGAAAGGCTGGTCATGGCTCACATCAACACCATCATCCCGGAAACCCTAGACCCACTCCAATTCGCATACCGCCCCAACAGATCCACATATGACGCAATCTCAATCACACTCCACACTGCCCTTTCCCACATGGACATTAGGAACACCTATGTGAGAATGCTGTTCATTCACTACAGCTCAGCATTCAACACCATAGTGACCACAAAGCTCATCACTAAGCTAAGGACCCTGGGACTGAACACCTCCCTCTGCAACTGGATCATGGACTTCCTGACGGACCGCCTCCAGGTGGTAAGGGTAGGCAACAACACATCTGCAACGCTGAACCTCAACACGGGGACCCCTCAGGGGTGCGTGCTAAGTCCCCTCCCGTACTCCCTGTTCACCCACGACTGCGTGGCCAAGCACGACTCCAACACCATCATTAAGTTTGCTGATGACACAACAGTGGTAGGCCTGATCACCGACAACGATGAGACAGCCTATAGGGAAGAGGTCAGAGACCTGGCATTGTGGTGCTGACAACAACCTCTCCCTCAACGTGAGCAAGACAAAGGAGATGATCATAGACTACAGGAAAAGGAGGGCTAAACATGTCCCCATTCACATCGATGGGGCTGTAGTGGAGAGGGTTGAGAGTTTCAAGGTCCTCGGTGTCCACATCACCAACAAACTATCATGGTCCAAACACACCAAGACAGTTGTGAAGAGCGCACGACAACACCTTTTCCCCCTCAGGAGACTGAAAAGATTTGGCATGGGTCCCCAGATCCTCAGAAAGTTCTACAGCTGCACCATCGAGAGCATCCTGACCGGTTGCATCACTGCCTGGTATGGCAACTGCTCGGCATCTGATTATAAGGCGCTACAGAGGGTAGTGCGTATGGCCCAGTACATCACTGAGGCCAAGCTTCCTGCCATCCAGCACCTGTATACCAGGCGGTGTCAGAGGAAGGCCCAACAGTCATAGACTGTTCTCTCTGCTACCGCACGGCAAGCTGTACTAGAGCGCCAAGTCTAGGTCCAAAAGGCTCCTTAACAGCTTCTACCCCCAAGCCATAAGACTGCTGAACAATTAATCAAATGGCCACCCGGACTATTTACATTTACACCCCTTTGATTTTACTCTGCTGCTACTCACTGTTTATTATCTATGCATAGTCACTTTACCCCTACCTACAGTTGAAGTCAGAAGTTTACATACACCTTAGCCAAATACATTTAAACTCAGTTTTTCACAATTCCTGACATTTAATCCTAGTAAAATTTCTTAGGTCAGTTAGGATCACCACTTTATTTTAAGAATGTGAAATATCAGAATAATAGTAGAGAGAATGATTTCTTTCAGGTTTTATTTCTTTCATCACATTCCCAGTGGGTCAGAAGTTTACATACACTCAATTAGTATTTGGTAGCATTGCCTTTAAATTGTTTAACTTGGGTCAAACGTTTCGGGTAGCCTTCCACAAGCTTCCCACAATAAGTTGGGTGAATTTTGGCCCATTCGTCCTGACAGAGATGGTGTAACTGAGTCAGGTTTGTAGGCCTCCTTGCTCACACACACTTTTTCAGTTCTGCCCACACATTTTCTATAGGATTGAGGTCCTTAAGCCATTTTGCCACAACTTTGAAAGTATGCTTGGGGTCATTGTCCATTTGGAAGACCCATTTGTGACCAAGCTTTAACTTCCTGACTGATGTCTTGAGATGTTGCTTCAATATATCCACATAATTTTCCATCCTTATGATGCCATCTATTTTGTGAAGTGCACTAGTCCACCCTACAGCATGATGCTGCCACCCCCGTGCTTCACGGTTGGGATGGTGTTCTTCGGCTTGCAAGCATCCCCCTTTTCCCTCCAAACATAACGATGGTCATTATGGCCAAACAGTTCTATTTTTGTTTCATCAGGCCAGAGGACATTTCTCCAAAAAGTACAATCTTTGTCCCCATGTGCAGTTGCAAACCGTAGTCTTGCTTTTTTATGGTGGTTTTGGAGCAGTGGCTTCTTCCTTGCTGAGCGGCCTTTCAGGTTATGTCGATATAGGAGTCGTTTTACTGTGGATATAGATACTTTTGTACATGTTTCCTCCAGCATCTTCACAAGGTCCTTTGCTGTTGTTCTGGGATTGATTTGCACTTTTCGCACCAAAGTACGTTCATCTCTAGGAGATGCGTCTCCTTCCTGAGCGGTATCACGGCTGCGTGGTCCCATGGTGTTTATACTTGCGTACTATTGTTTGTACAGATGAACGTGGTACCTTCAGGCGTTTGGAAATTGCTCCCAAGGATGAACCAGACTTGTGGAGGTCTACAATTTATTTTCGGAGGTCTTGGCTGATTTCTTTTGATTTTCCCATGATGTCAAGCAAAGAGGCACTGAGTTTGAAGGTAGGCCTTGAAATACATCCACAGGTACACCTCCAATTGACTCAAATGATGTCAATTAGCCTATCGGAAGCTTCTAAAGCCATGACATCATTTTCTGGAATTTTCCAAGCTGTTTAAAGGCACAGTCAACTTAGTGTATGTAAACTTCTGACCCACTGGAATTGTGATACAGTGAATTATAAGTGAAATAATCTGTCTGTAAACAATTGTTGGAAAAATGACTTGTGTCATGAACAAAGTAGATGCCAAAACTATAGTTTGTTAACAAGAAATTTGTGGAGTGGTTGAAAAAAGAGTTTTAATGACTCCAACCTAAGTGTATGTAAACTTCCGACTTCAACTGTACATGTACAAATTACCTCGACTAACCTGTACCCCCGCACATTGACTCGGTACCGGTACCCTCTGTATATAGCCTCGATATTGTGATTTTATTGTGTTACTTTTTATTTTATTTTTTACTTTACTTTATTTAGTACATATTTTCTTAACTCTATTTCTTGAACTGCATTGTTGGTTAAGGGCTTGTAAGTAAGCATTTCACGGTAAGGTTTGGTCTAGAGCCTCTGTCTGAGGTGCTAAAAGCATAGTGATCCTAGGATCCTGTCTTTATTTCTATAGGGGCCCCTAATAGGGGCCCAACAGCTGAGAGAGATCAAGGAAACTAATGATGAAGTGATTTATTGATGTAGTGCCACATAAAAGCTATAGGTCATTAGCTGTATCTCTTGTTGTCTTACCAGCACCCGTTTGTGACCCAGTTGCTGACCCGTAACCTGATTATTGAGCTGCTGGACATGGCCAATAACCCTGACCTCCACTCCACACACAGCAACGATGACAACGATCTGGAGGTGAGGATAGGTGACCATAGACAGACACACACATGCAAGTATGCAAGTATACACGCCGAATGCACACGCACACACACACAAAACACACACACACACACTTGCTTTGTAACACATGGCTCTCTCAGGAACATTGCTTGGTCCTAGTGTGATTTCTTCTGTGAGTGTATAACATGTGTTTGTGTGTGTGTGTGTGTGTGTGTGTTTGTCTTTAGAATGGAGAAGCTGCTCCTGATAAGATCCAGTCTGCAGGGAAACACCTGCCTGCAGAGAGGTCTCTGTCTGAAGAGCAGTGTGAGTCTTCAAATCCCTATACAATTCGTACACTGAAACCCCATCATCAGTCCACACAACGCATCATCACAACAATGTGTGAAGAGGTTAAAGAAGTACTCATGCCCCCATATATGCAAAACTATCCTAATGAATAATGTCAATGAGGGCCTTCTGCACTGAACATCTGAAGTGTGGTCTGGCTATTACTGTTGATACGGTACATCTGCCCACGGCAATTCAAGTGATCACTCATCTATAGTTAGAGAGGGGGCGTGTATGTGTGTTGATTGTCGATTGTGTGTTTGTGTGTGGGTGTGTGTGTGTGTGCGTGCGTATCTATCTGTATGTCTGTGTGTTCGTGGAGAGTTGAGGTCAACATCACCCTTACTGGCCTAATGTGTGGAACTGGGGCATATGGAGCAGGACACAACACAACACGCTTGGGCTCCTGACCTCTGTGACAAGAAGCCCATTGAGACTTGGAGGGGGAGATGAAGTCACCAAGTCACCCAACACAGAGAGGTCACTGTCCTGCACACGCACATGGCATGTTCCCTCTCTGTGGTCCTCTGACGTGCCCACACGTGAGGAGTGGACCTGGGGGGTGGAGGTGGGGCAAAGGAGGAGGGGGGACGAGGGGGGACTGAGGAACTATTGTTACATATCCTAGTCATTTAGCAGACGCTCTTATCCAGAGCGACTCACAGTTAGCGAGTGCATACATTTTCCATACTGGCCCCCCGTGGGAATCGAACCCACAACCCTGGTGTTGCAAGCGTCATGCTCTACCAACTGAGCTACAGGAGGCCCTATCAGAGAGCTTACAGCATACACAGGGTGTGGTGACGGTGGACAATGCGCCCACTCTGCAGCAGCCAGGGACAAGACAGCATATATTTAGACAAGCATGTCAACACGAAAACAAATACATGGTGGTAGTGGAGAGGGGTGTTGTGAGTCTTCTTGTATGGGCATCCCTATGGGTTTTCTGGGGTGAGAGGTAAAGTTGCTGAAGCAGATGACATGGTATTACTGTAACACAGTGATATGGGCTCAGTATGAGACTAGTTTACCAATCGATCTGAATACGTAACAAGTGATGGTAAGCAGACAGTGGGATAGCAGGTCAACCTGGATTTTATCCAATGGCATTGATAGTAAATTCGTCACATAAAATGATCATGCCATATTATAAAATATGTTTAGTCTCAGCAGTTATTAAATACATACATTGTATTTAAGTGTACATTTCCCTCATGATTAACTTAGTTGTGTGTCCCTTAGTTGACCAAGTGAAGTTTGGGCCTCTGTTGAGGAAAGTGACAGAGCCTTATCCTGATATGGTGAGTCACATTTCGTTCCTGTGTTTGACATGTTGGGGTTAAAGGTCAAGTCAACATAGAATGGCTATTTGGGGAAGTGCGATTGGGAGATGTATGAGTTCTATTGATAGGGATATTATGGATGTGTATGTTGTTGATGATTCTTCGTAATATTTCAGCAAAGCTCGTATGAAGACGATTGGGACGTCTCAGAAGATGAAACTGAGTCACCGTAAGATGCTCCTCTTCCACGGTTTACTATTGGTAGCATTACGTCAAACAAACAATATTAGTAGCATTATCTCAAATCTACTGTCAGTGTATGTATGGACATGCACCTGATGTCCCCACTAGAGCAAGTTCACAGGAGAACAATAATGGGAAATCCTCTCAATCCATAACAGAGAACACTAGATCCAACCCTCCCATTGTCACAGAACAGACGGTGCTCTGTCACGTCATGTACTCAGAACTAGTGGCTCGATAGAGAGATTAACATCTTGTCTTCTTGTTTCAGGAGCCTGTTGGAATGTGTGGAGGAAGCTCTGCAGCTGAGGTAGGGCAGCAGAGCCCCCATTGTAAAAACACTATTCAACAGTATTCTACCCGGCGACAACGCCTCTTATCAAGGAAGCTGTGGAAGTTTGTTTAATCACATTGAAATGAATACCTTTTGAATACTTGACATTATCTGATAAAGAAGTAAAGCATATTTGATCACTGATTATTATTGTTGGGTATGCATATTTGAAATTCATTGATCCTGCCCTGGTCTAAATCTTGGCCTATTAAGAGCCAACATAATTGTTGTTGTTTTTTGTTGTTGTACTTTTTACCCCAATTGGTCGTTACAGTCTTGTCCCGTACGGACTCGGGAGAGGCGAAGGTCGAGAGCCATGCGTCCTCCGAAACACGACCCTGTCAAGCCGCACTGCTTCTTGACACAATGCTCGCACCAATGTGTCGGAGGAAACACCTTACTACTGGCAACCGAATTTAGCGTGTATGCGCCCGGCCCTCTACAAGGAGTCGCTAGAGTGCGATGGGACAAGGACATCCCTGCCTGCCAAACCCTCCCCTAACCCGTACAACGCTGGGCCGCCTCACAAGTCTCCCAGTCGCGGCCAGCTGCGACACAGCCTGGGATCGAACCCGGGTCTGTAGTGACGCCTCTAGCACTGCGATGCAGTACCTTAGATCGCTGCACCACTTGGGAGGCCCAGAGCCAACATAATTGAACCCTTTACCATTGTAATTAAAGAAAATGTCCATAATATATCTGCAGTAATAGTGGAATGATAGTGTTTCACAGTATTACTTACCCACCAGTGTTGTGATTGGCTGTGATATTCGCCTATTGATTTCTCCCGCCGGGCTGGCATCTGTTGTAAAAATGGGAAAGCTGTTCTGACTTTGTGGCTGGGTTATCTTGTGGAAATCGCTCTGCCATTTCCTGGTTGCTAAAATTAGACACTGTTCGCTCAATTTCAGTTTATGTGAGAAAACAAACACAGAATAGTGTAGGGAATCATTGTACCATCTAAATCAATGTGAAATATATTTTCAAAAACCACAAATGTTTTTTTTCCAGCTGTTTGAAGCTGGTGGACCAAAACCGAAAGTAAAAGGCTCAAGCACAAGTCTCCGCCATGTTATGGGGAAATTGAATGCGGGGGAGGGGGGATTTTTTTTTGGAATGCAGCCTAGTGCTGTTGCAATTCACCTAGCTTCCACATAGGGGAGAAATTCAGAGAATTTCTATGTGTAGTACCTTTAACATTACCATTGACAATTTCTTCTTCCAGGAGCTTAACCATCAAGAGAGCGCCATCTACTGGCGTAAGTATCAATAACAGAACACCAAGAAAGTGTAATGCAAGATATGAAGATAAGAAGATAATCCTTTATACCTTTCAGCTATTTCCTATTGCATTATGTGATGGTGTTTTGTCTAATGATTCTGGTTGTGTAGGGGGCTAAAAGTGGGAGTAAGAGTGGGTTATTCAGCCCTTCCACAGCCTCCCTGCCTGCCATCAGCTCTTTTTGTCCCACGATGGAGGACAAGGACCTCACCCTTGGCCCCAGCTCCAGCCTGGGGCCCGACTCCACTCGCACACCCAACAACTTCACGTCAGGTACGGAACATCCACACACAGAGTCAATGTTTACAGGTTATATGTCAATCTGTCATGACAACTGATTTGGTTCTGGGTGCCTTCAGAAAGTATTCACACCCCTTGACTTTTTCCATATGTTGTTGTGTTACAGCCTGAATTTAAAATGGATTAAATTAAATTGAGATTATATGTCACTGATCTACACACAACACCCCATAATGTCAAAGTGGAATTATGATTTTAGAAATGTTTACAAATTAATAAAAAATTAAAAGCTCAATGTATTGAGTCAATAAATATTCAACCCTTTTGTTATGGCAAGCCTAAATAAGTTCAGGTGTAAAAATATGCTTAACAAGTCACATAAGTTCCATGGACTCACTCTGTGTGCAATAATAGTGTTTAATATGATTTTTAAATTACTACCCCATCTCTGTACCCCACACATACAATTATATGTAAGGTCCCTTAGTCGAGCAGTGAATTTCAAGCACATATTCAACCACAAAGACCAGGGACGTTTTCCAATGGTTTGAAAGAAGGGCACCTATTGGCAGACATTGAATATCCCTTTGAGCATTTGTGCAGTTATTAATTACACTTTGGATAGTGTATCAATACACCCAGTCACTATAAAGATACAGGCGCCCTTCCTAACTCAGTTGCCGGAGAGTAAGGAAACCGCTCTGGGATTTCACCATGAGGCCAATGGTGATTTTAAAAGTTACAGAGTTTAATTGCTGTGATAGGAGATAACTGAGGATGGATCAACAACATTGTAGTTACTCCACAATACTAACATAAATGACAGAGTGAAAAGAATGAAGCTTGTACAGAATAAAAAATATTCCAAAACATGTATCCTGTTTGCAATAAGGAACTAAAATAATACAGCAAAAAATGTGGCAAAGAAATTAACTTTAGCGTTATGTTTGGAGCAAATCCAACACAACACATCACTGAGTACCACTCTTCATATTTTCAAGCATGATGGTGGCTGCATCATGTTATGGGTATGCTTGTCATCGGCAAGGACTAGGACATTTCTTTGGATAAAAATAAACGGAATAGAGCTAAGCACAGGTAAAATCCTAGAGGAAAACCTGGTTCAGTCTGCTTTCCAACAGACACTGGGAGACAAATTCACCTTTCAGCAGGACAAATACCTAACATGCAAGGCCAAATATATACTGGAGTTGCTTACCAAGACGACATTGAATGTTCCTGAGTGGCCTAGTTACAGTTTTGACTTAAATTGGCTTAAAAATCTTTGGCAAGACTTGAAAATGGCTATCTAGCAATGATCAACAACCAACTTGACAGAGCTTGAATAATTTTTAAAAGAATAATGGGCAAATATTGTACAATCCAGGTGTGCAAAGCTCTTAGATACTTACCCAGGAAGACTCGCAGCTGTAATCGCTGCCAAAGGTGATACTAACATGTATTGACTGAGGGGGTTGAATACTTATCTAATCAAGATATACTGTATTAGTGTTTTGTTTTCCATTCATTTAAAAAATGTTTTAGAATTTTTCTTCCACTTTGACATTACAGTGTATTTTGTGTAGATCATTGACAAAAAATGACAGTTAAATCCATTTTAATCCCACTTTGTAACGTAACAAAATGTGGGAAAAGTAAAGGGTTGTGAATACTTTCGGACGTCTGTTAATGTCAATATTTGTATTGACAACAGAATTACTGTTCCATATTTACCTAGACAGTAGAATATTCTAATGCGGCAGGTATCCTCGTGGTTAGAGCGTTGGGCCAGTAATTGAAAGGTTGCTGATTCAAATACTGGAGCTGTGCCCTTGAGCAAGGCACTTAACCCTAATTGCTCCAGGGGCGGTGTACAATGGCAACCCTGGCCGTGACCCCACTCCCTGCGGGTGTCTCAGGGGGAGTTGGGATATGAAGAAAACAAAACATTTACATTACAGACTTGTGTGTAACAGGAAAAATAGAAGCACCCCCCAAATTATTATCTGCATGTTTGTTCTCTACCTATATAGTACTCTAAATACCTCAATTAATGTTGTTAAGTTCAAAATAATACAACAAATAAATAGCTGACACCGTTCAAACCAATGAGGGTTCGGAACTTTAAAGCCAATGATCTCAGAATCATCTTGTTGCAGATATGTTCAATTATATATCTTCGTTGTGTTTTAATCCAAATCTTGATAGCTTTTTCCATCTATGCTAGGATCGACAACCCGTTTCAACATGAACAATGTTTTGTCCCTCCTTCGTGTGGTTCTCCAGTCTTGGCCAGGTGTTCTGCTACTCAGGATATCAGCAGACAGTGGTGTAGTAACCCCAGTGTTTCTGAGGGGGGCGCCGTACAGGCAGAGAAGAAGAAGACAGGAGGGGTGACCTCACCTAGCAGGGACAGCTCTCTCTCTCTAGAGTGGCGCACACTAAGGAGGAAAATGGAGGACTCTGTGAGTTTCAAACACAGGGCAATGTTGCCTCACTACATATCTGTACATAGCCTCATATCCATGCTGTAGCTGTTGACGCTGGAGAATGGCATTGGCAGTTGGCTTCAACACATAGTATGGATTTGAGGCTACCAGTAGACGGTAGCCTCAACCAGTACATAGCCAGTACATAGGGGTTCAACCAGTACATAGCCAGTACATAGCCAGTACATAGGGGTTCAACCAGTACATAGCCAGTACATAGGGGTTCAACCAGTACATAGCCAGTACATAGGGGTTCAATTCAATGTGAATTCAGACACTTCCAGGGATTAAGTTGTAAAGTGCCATTCATTTTTTGATTGGAATTTAAATTCACTACCTGAACTGACTGAATTGAAATGGAATTGACACCAACCCTGGTACTGACAGAAAGTGTGGGGTTTGTTAACCTAATAACATGTTTCAATACATTCTGCTTTATCCTCTTTAATAAACCATCCTTTTGTTACATTTAATGTAGGAGGACAGAATTCAGAGATGGCCAGATCCTATGGCGCTGCTTTGTGACATGAATTTAAACAACATCCTCATTTGAACTACACAGTTATCCCTCTTTTTTGTTTTTGTTGTTGTTGTGTTTAACCCTGTTTAATTTCTAGAGAGCTGATTGTCATGGACTCCCTCCTACCCCTCAAGTTCATGTAAGTGCAGAGATCTAGTCTAACAGCATGTGCCCTACAACAGTACAAGGAAGCTGATGCATCAATATCTAACACAATTTCCACATGCTTATGAACAGGCTATGTAGCTAATGGCTATTGGTCTCACAAATGCTTGATGGAATGCCCACTACAACAATGGTTTGCTAAGATGGACATTGGACAAATTATAATAGTCTAACCATGCCTATTTTACAGCAATGTAGAATTAGTTATCATAATAATAAAACGTGTATTGTTTTGTTTCATAGATGGGTGCCTGTTTCTCTAAAGTCTTCAATGGTTGTCCTTTGAACATCCACTGTGCTATCACCTGGATTCTCCCTAAAACTAGAGGTAAAGAACGGGTTAAAGAGGTTAAGGTAAGGTCATTACACATGGCCATGACATTATCTTATCTCTTCCTCAGATCAGTATCTTATACTGGGGGCAGAAGAGGGTGTCTACACACTCAACCTCAATGAGCTCCATGAGGACACTATGGAGAAGGTAACGGTTCATATATTGATGAATGTGGGAAAGTATGAATTAATGTGGGTAGTCTGTGTTGAATTCCAGAGCATACCACTAATACTATTCTACCGAGCCATTTACCTCTCTCTTCCCCCACAGTTGCTCCCACAAAGATGTACCTGGCTGTATGTCATGAACAATGTATTGATGTCCGTATCAGGTAGAGCTCTATCCCAATCACACACCTATCATGTTGGTCATAGGATCCTACACCATCAACTCCACTACTCCAAACCAGACCTGGTTTCAAATAGTATTTGAGTGTTTGCTTGAGTGCCAGGTGGGCGGGGTTTGCACTTTTGAGACTATTCCATTGGTTCCATTGCACCAGGCAAGCGGGGTTTGCACTTTTGAGACTATTCCATTGGTTCCATTGCACCAGGCAAGCTCAATTACATTTTACATTTTAGTCATTTAGCAGACGCTCTTATCCAGAGCGACTTACAGTTAGTGAGTGCATACATTTTCAATCAAGCACTGCTAAATTTGAACACGGGTTCTTACCATTCCTCTCCTCCCCTCTCCGCCCCTCTCCTCCCCCATCCCCAGGGAAGTCTTCCCAGCTGTACTCCCACAGTCTGACGGCTCTGTTTGAGCAGAGAGGCCACAAGCAGCAGAAACAGAGTCACCTGTCCCTCAGTACCAACCGCTTCACTGAGAGGATCAGCCACAGGCAGAGGGGGTGGGTGTGTGTGTGTGTGTGTGTGTGTGTGTGAGTGTGTGTGTGTGTGTGTGTGTGTGTGTGTGTGTGTGTGTGTGTGTGTGTGTGTGTGTGTGTGTGTGTGTGTGTGTGTGTGTGTGTGTGTGTGTGTGTGTGTGTGTGTGTGCGCGCGCGTGCGGCTCAATGTGTTCGGGTTCAATTTGTCTTCAACATATGTGCCAGTCCTAATTTAAAGTAAAAAAATGAATAATGATTGTCCATCAGCAGGAAATATGCTGTAACTGTGAAGATACCAGACACTAAAGGCTGTCGAAGATGCAGCGTGGGTAAGTGAAATTTGGCACTGCACTATGTACAATCACAACACAGAAAGTTGATTCAATTTATCTGAAATTGATTCAATTGAAATCACTCTTTCTCCTCTCTCCTAGCAAGGAACCCCCACACAGACAGCACGTTCCTGTGTGGGGCTGTACCGTCAGGTCTAATTCTACTCTTGTGGTATGAGCCTCTGCAGAAGTTCATGCAGCTCAAGGTGTGTATCGACATAACAAAATGTACAATTATTCCATACAAATACACTACATGGCCAAAAGTATGTGGACATCAGTGGAGGCTGCTGAGGGGAGGACGGCTCATAATAATGGCTGGAACAGAGCGAATGGAATGGCATCAAACCATGTGTTCGATGTATTTGATACCGTTCCACTGATTCCACTCCAGCCATTACCACGAGCCACCTTTCCAACAAGTCAGTTTGTCAACATTTCTGCCCTGCTAGAGGTGCCCCGGTCAACTGTAAGTGCTGTTATTGTGAAGTCGAAAACGTCTAGGAGCAACGCTGAGTGCTGAAGCGCATAGCGCGTAAAAATCGTCTTTCCTCGGTTGCAACACTCACGACCGAGTTCCACACTGCCTCTGGAAGCAACATCAATACAATAACTGTTCGTCGGGAGCTTCAGGTAATGGGTTTCCATGGCCGAGCAGCCGCACACAAGTCTAAGATCAACATGCGCAATGCCAAGCGTCGGTTGGAGTGGTGGAAAGCTCACCGCCATTGGACTCTGGAGCAGTGGAAACGCGTTCTCTGGAGAGATGAATCACACTTCACCATCTGGCAGTCCGACGGACGAATCTGGGTTTGGCGGATGCCAGGCGAACGATACCTGCCCGAATGCATAGTGCCAACTGTAAAGTTTGGTGGAGGAGGAATAATGGTCTGGGGCTGTTTTTCATGGTTCAGGCTAGGTCCCTTAGTTCCACCGAAGGGAAATCTTAACGCTATAGCACACAATGACATTCTAGACGATTCTGTGCTTCCAACTTTGTGGTAACAGTTTGGGGAAGGCCCTTTCCTGTTTCAGCATGTCAATGCCCCCGTGCACAAAGTGAGGTCCACACAGAAATGGTTTGTCGAGATCGGTGTGGAGCCTTGACAGAGCCCTGACCTCAACCCGATCGAACACCTTTGGGATGAATTGGAACTCCGGCTGAGAGCCAGGCCTAATCGCCCAACATCAGTGCCCGACCTCACTAATGCTCTTGTGGCTGAATGGAAGCAAGTCCCCCGCAGCAATGTTCCAACATCTAGTGGAAAGCCTTCCCAGAATAGTGGAGGCTGTTGTAGCAGCAAAGGGGGGACCAACTCCATGTTAATGCCCATGATTTTTGAATGAGACGTTATCGAGCAGGTGTCCACATACTATTGGCCATGTAGTGTATGAACCATGTCTGTAAGACTTGTAAAATTGGTCTTCCTACGCTTTTTCCCTCTCTCAGCATATAGACATATGTCTACCGGATCCGCTCCCTATCTTTGAGTTACTGGTGTCAGTGACAGATGAGTTCCCACAGCTATGTGTAGGGGTGGGGGACTATGCTGCAGAGGGAAGGAAACTACCAACCAACCAGCAGCTGAAGTTTGACATCATAGAGTTGAACGGCACACCACATTCTTCACCAGGTAACACAGAGATGTCAGATAGTAGGATTTGAACCGTATGACATTGTGTAGAGAAATTGTATAACCATAATTCTCTCTCTCTCTGTCGCTCTCTCTTTCTCTCTCTCTCTCTCTCTCTCTCTCTCTCTATCTCTTTCTTTCTTTCTTTGTATATGTGCATTTGCTTGTGTGTGTGAATGTGTGTGTTTACAGAGAGTACGCCGGACCGGAGCCGGACCGGAACACGACCGGGAGCCGTGCAGGCGACACAGATGGACCGAGACACAGTTCTCATTGCACTGGAGAGTGAGTCTATCGGAATTAATTATATCCTACCAAGAATATCATTATCACCACCTGCCCTTTAATGTCCACTACTAACGGTATCTTTAATATCACTTTACAGAGACTGTGAAGATTGTCAACCTACAAGGTCTTCCCTCCAAGGAGCTGGCTTCTGAATTGGTCTTTGACTTCCCCATTGAAACACTAAGTACTAACTTCATTCAATCTCAATAATTATTATTTAGCTCATAGAATGTTCTCAATTCATCACCACATCATAGCTACAGGTACTGTAATAACATTTATACACTACGTGCGTGGAAGATTTTTCGAGTGACATTACTGTTTTATGGATAGTTTGTTTACAGGATAGTGTTCTGGCTTTCTGGAAGCATGGTCTTAAAGGGAGGAGCCTTCACACAAATGAGGTGATTATGTCTCATTATAATGCGCACATTCCCCCCCAAAAAATGCTTAATCTGCATTGGAAGTATATTATCTTGCTGAAACAGTGAAACACATTTACATTCATCTTTGTAGGTCACCCAGGAAATCACAGACGAAAGCAGAGTATTCCGGGTCTTGGGGACGAACAGGTATGCTCCAAACGCTGGGCTGTTACCTTGAATGCCACATTATGTGTGTTCCCATTAGGGGTCAAATGTTATCTGAGAAAACCAATCACATTCTGTCTTTTGTCACTTCCGTAGGGATGTCGTCCTTCAGAGTACCCCCACAGAGGACCCGTCAGCCATGACCAACCTCTATATCCTGACTGGCCATGAAAGCAGCTACTGAGAGAAGAGAGAAAAAGGACTGAAAGAACAAAATAGAAATTGGGATTAAAGGAAGAAGAGAAGAAGAGTTTGATTTTAGATGGGCAGTGCTTCTCTGGCACCTGATAAACTCACGAGCAAACGAGCCCCCTCACTATAGACTTGTCTCAAACTGAACTAACCCCCTATACCTGTGTATGGGGTACAGACAGACCATGGGAGACTCTCACACACTAAACCACAGGGAGATAACTGTTGTGTGTTCGAGGAAGGACCTGTAAAAAAAAAAAAAGAAGACTTGTCAGAGAGAGCCCCCTGTGATGACCCCTAACCCCTTGAATGCGCACAAACGACTTTTAACCTTGCACAACCCCATTGTCTCTTTTTACTGGTATAACTGATGACTGAAGTCTGACCTGTCTCCTGAAACAACATTGTGAAGTGGAAACCAACTACAACTACACCACCCTGCTCTGTCCACTAACTGTATTATTATTATGCAATGTCATGGCATAGGTGGCGCCGTTCCAAGATGTCAACATAAATAGTTTTGAAAATATGTGCCATATAATCAGAGTGCTAATACATTCTAAAAGTGCTTTGAAAGACTTTACTGAGATCAATTTAAAGGCCTGTTTCCCGGACCCAGATTAAGACTATTCCAGGACTAAAACGTGCAACATGTGTGTTTGCCACAAAGTGCTCAAAGACTGGTAGTGAGACTATGTTGTGTTTAATGATACTGGTTTGGTTTGGTTTGGTTGTGCAGTACGAGGCCCAATGTAACACTCATCATCCATGAAATACACTTGAAGGAGCATGCATGTTGCTATTTGAATTTTCTTTTAGGAAAAACATATGATGTGGGAATATGGATTTTAGAGATTTTATGTATACTTTGTTTAAACTTACGCCAAACAATTGAATTCACAATTATGAAATAAAAAGATAAACACTTTTGGGTGGATTCAGTGATACTGTAACATATTGTAGTCCTCAAACTTTCAAAAAAAAAAGTTGACTGACGCAAAGGTAAAAGATTCATGATTTTTTTCAAAGACAACATTGCCTGAGAGTTAGTCCAGTTTAGCAAGCTTTAATAATGTGTGTGGCAAGTGTAAAAATAGATGTGAAAGATTGGTATGCAAATTAGCCCGTGAGTATAGATTTGATTAAAGGCAGTGGCGTACGGAAAAATAGCTAATCTCATGCCAGTGATTATAGGGCCCATTGTACTATTAGTTGATCAAATGTCTTCAGTCTTTTTCATCCAATTGAAAATGTAACACGATCAGAATGTTTCCTATACAAAAATTATTTACAACTTGGGCATTATTAAAGGGGTAAAGCTTACATAATATGACATGATGCAGCACTTTTATTATTGTATGTCGATGGCACAGACGGGGGCTCCATTGCTCATTTTTGATTCCCTTGATTCACACAGTTCCTAAAATCATCACCTGGCTTCCTGTGAGTAGGCCTAGGCAGAGAGGAAGAGGAGAAGCGAGAGGGATAACTGGGCCCAAAATCTGTCTTCTCCAGCAGGTGGCGTTTTTTATTTAATTCCATTCTTTTCTCAAGCTAGGCGTTTTTTGCATGGAGGTCAATGAGAGTGTCGAATTTGGTTAACAAAAAATGTAATGGCTTATTTGCTACGTATGGCTTATTTGATCGAAAATAAGTTTCGTAATGCTTCGGTTGTTATGAGTGTACTGATATAAGTAGGATACGTGACATCCCGGCAACTTTGAGAGAAAAAATGGTCTCACCTGATCTTGCCTCCTCCTGACTGCCTTCCATTTTTGAAGATATTTATTTTCATTGTTAGAGCGGCCACTTTAGTATCTGGTCAATATAATGGATCATCTGTGGCCAAGGCCAATATAGAGTGATAGGAATAACGTGCTTCAGTAGTCTTTTTTGGGCTAAGATGGATGACGAGGAGGAGACCTGGCTGACGACCCAGTGGGAGTGAAATCTTTGGAGAAAGTGGATCCCTGCCTTTTTGCTCATCCATATGTAGTCTCAGGCTGGGTAGAAAATAAGTTGGGTACTGTTAAATCGGTGAAGGTAGCTCGAAGTGGACTTGTGATGATTTTCTGTTTCTTCCATCCAGGGGGAGCGGGCACCTTGTGTCACGCGCCTAGGGACAAGACCTGTGACTTGCTTTGCTCTCTGGAGCAGGGTGTCTTTGAAAGGATTGATTACTGGGGTGACGTTGTGTTGAGGTGGAGCAACTGAAATTGAAGATTCCCTGTGTATGTGACACTCACCGTTTGGTGCGACGCAGACCCGGTGGCGAGCGTGGTGAAACTGAGAAGACACTGTCTGTCCTTTTTAGTTTTGAAGCAGTCTTTACCTGATAAAGCCATGTTAGGATATGTCAGTTATCCCATGAGAGCTTTTGTGCCAAACCCCACTAAGATGTTTCAGATGCCAAGCTTATTGTCATGTTGCAGCAGTGTGTAGGAGGGAGATTCCGAGATGTGAAGAGTGTGCAGGAGGGCATGGGACAAAGGAATGTGTAGTATTGGTGGAAAAAATGGTGTTTGTCAATTGTGAGGGTGCCCATGTTGCTGGGGTTCAGAAGTGACCGGTGCGAGAGAGACAGGTTGATGTTGCCAGGGTCAGAGTAAAACAAAAGGTGTTGTATGCTGAGGCAGTGAAGAGAGTAGGCCTAGAGCAGCATTTCCCAAAGTCGGTCCTGGTGACCCCAAGGGGTGCACATTTTGGTTGTTTCCCTAGCACTACACAGCTGATTCAAATAACCAAAGCTTGATGATGAGTTCGTTATTCAAATCAGCTGTGTAGTGCTAGGGCAAAAACCAAAACGTGCACCCTTTGGGGTCCCCAGGACCAAGTTTGGGAAACGCTGGCCTAATGGTATATAGGTGGAGGGTTAGTTAGTGGTGATTTTTTCCCTTTCCCCCTTCCTTTTTGTATCACAAAATGCAACGTTTTCGACCATGCACAAATAAAAAATGTGCGAACACCATGATACCAAAGAAGAAAATGTGCTTCACTAAATTTGCTGTCTTAGCGTTCATAGCCATGGTTATCAACTGTACTGCATAAATGGAATGTCAATCACAGAAAATAGATGTTGTGGCAGCTGTGGAGAAGCACTTGGGTGATTTTACTGCAGAAGAGTACCAAGGTGTGTGTTTTTTATTTATTTACAGATAGCCAGGGGCACACTCCAACGCTCAGACATTTACAAACAAAGCATTTGTGTTTAGTGAGTCCGCCAGATCAGAGGCAGTAGGGATGACCAGGGATATTCTCTTGATAAGTGCTTGAATCGGACCATTTTCCTGTCTTGCTAAGCATTCAAAATGTAACAAGTACTTTTGGGTGTCAGGTAAAATGTATGGAGTAAAAAGTACATTATTTTCTTTAGAAATGTAGTGAAGAAAAAGTAAAAGTTGTCAAAAATATAAATAGTTAAGTAAAGTACAGATACCCCCCAAAAACTACTTAAATAGTACTTTAAAGTATTTTTACTTAAATACTTTAAACCACTGGTTATCTTGTTGTTATTAGTCTCACCCTTCAGCTCCATTCAACTCCTCCCATCTATCTCTTAACACCATCCATATTGGATGTATTGAAGTCACACTCCCACACAGTAGGTGGCAGTAAACAACAGCTGGTGCATAAAATCTAATACTAAGGAAGTCTCGAGGTTTTGCTCGCCTGAGGTAGAATATCTCATGATAAGCTGTAGACCACACTATTTACCAAGAGAGTTTTCGTCTATATTTTTCGTAGCTGTCTATTTACAACCACAAACCGATGCAGGCACTAAGATTGCACTCAATGAGCTGTATAAGGCCATAAGTAAACAGGAAAACGCTCATCCAGAGGCAGCGCTCCTAGTGGCCGGAGACTTTAATGCAGGGAAACTTAAATCCATTCTACCTCATTTCTACCAGCATGTTAAATGTGCAAACAGAGAGAAAAAAACTCTAGACCACCTTTACTCCACACACAGAGACGCGTACAAAGCTCTCCCTCGCCCTCCATTTGGCAAATCTGACCATAACTCTATCCTCCTGATTCTTGCTTATAAGCAAAAACTAAAGCAGGAAGCACCAGTGACTCGGTTAATAAGGAAGTGGTCAGATGACGCAGATGCTAAGCTAGACTGTTTTGCTAGCACAGACTGGAATATGTTCCGGGATTCTTCCGATAGCATAGAGCAGTACACCACATCAGTCACTGGCTTCATCAATAAGTGCATCGATGATGTCGTCCCCACAGTGACCGTACGTACATTCCCCAACCAGACAGAAGCCATGGATTACAGGCAACACCCGCACTGAGCTAAAGGGTAGAGCTGCCGCCTTCAAGGAGCAGGACTCTAACCCAGACGCATATAAGAAATCCCGCTATGCCCTCCGACGAGCCATCAAACAGGCAAAGAGTCAATACAGGACTAAGATTGATTCGTACTACACCGGCTCTGACGGTCGTCGGATGTGGCAGGGCTTGAAAACTATTACAGACTACAAAGGGAAGCACAGCCGCGAGCTGCCCAGTGACACAAGCCTACCAGACAAGCTAAATCACTCTATGCTCGCTTCGAGGCAAGCAACACTGAAGCATGCATGAGAGCATCAGCTGTTCCGGATGACTATGTGATCACGCTCTCTGTAGCCGATGTGAGTAAGACCTTTAAACAGGTCAACAAGGCTGCAGGGCCAGACGGATTACCAGGACGTGTACTCAAAGCATACGCTGACCAACTGGCAAGTGTCTTCACTGACATTTTCAACATGTCCCTGACCGAGTCTGTAATATCAACATGTTTCAAGCAGACCACCATAGTCCCTGTGCCCAAGAACACTAAGATAACCTGCCTAAATGACTACCGACCCGTAGCACTCACGTCTGTAGCCATGAAGTGCTTTGAAAGGCTGGTCATGGCGCACATCAACACCATTATCCCAGAAACCCTAGACCCACTCCAATTTTGCATACCGCCCCAACAGATCCACAGATGATGCAATCTCTATT